CTGCGCTCGACTGAGCCTGGAAGCCCTGGGTCCTCTAGTCCAGCACTCCCAGCCACTCCACCAGCCACCCCACCAGCCGCCTCTCCCAGTGCTCTGAAGGGTGTGTCTCAGGCCTTGCTGGAGCGGGTAAGTCCTGGGTAATAGGTAGGGGGCCTTGGTGACCAGACGGGGCCTTGGTAACCATGTGTTGCTGACCCACTTTATGCAGATAAGGGCCAAGGAGGTCCAGAAACAGCTGGCACAGATGACACGGTGCCCGGAACAGGAGCTTCGGCTGCAGCGGCTAGAGCGCTTGCCAGAGCTAGCCCGGGTGTTGCGTGGTGTCTTTGTGTCTGAGCGCAAGCCGGCACTCACTATGGAGGTGGTCTGCGCAAGGATGGTGGACAGTTGCCAAGCTGCCCTGAGCTCAGGTTTGTACAGAGCAAGATGGGGGAGGGTGGGCATAGTCATGCTCACTGTGTTCTTGGCAAGGAACTGGGTCCATTTCTGACCAGAGACAGTTTGTTTGCCTTGGAGTATGTGTGTGTTCCCCTTGTTGTTCATTCCCCTGGTGTTTGAGAGCAGTGCCCGGGGACCCCCAGGCCACAGCAGTGGCTAAGCCTTGAGAAAGGCCATGTTGAGGGGTGTAAGGTACCAGGTTGGGTAAGTGAGCTGAGCAAGTCATCCAGATATACTGTGCTTAAACTCACAATGCACTTCTGCAGGGGAGATGGAGAAGCACGTGCTGCTCCTAGCCGAGCTGCTGCCAGACTGGCTCAGCCTGCATCGCATTCGCACGGACACTTACGTCAAGCTGGACAAAGCTGCTGACCTAGCTGGCCTCACGGCGAGGCTGACCCAGCGTGTCCACACTGAAGGGCTGTGACTGAGTTCTTCGCCTGATGGTCTGTTCTCTTGATCAGAACAACGCACTTGAGCTCCCTCCCCCCCATGCCACAGGCTTACCGCCAGTATGGGCAGCGGTTGTGCCCATGGCTCTCATAAAGCGGCTTTGGGGTACCCCAGAACCAGCTCTTTGTGGTTGCTGGGGAAGTAAACTGTGAGAGCAGAGGATGTCGGATGTCTGACTCGTCTAGTTCCAGGTACTGTCGGTCCAGATGGGAGCCCCAGGCCAGCCTAGCCTGCTCCTTCGTGCTCATTAAAGCTGCTCTCTTGATTAGAGTCTTAAGACCCACACAGAAAACTTGGACTTCTGGCCAGATTTCAAAGGACAGTGAGCTCTGAATGGCAGAGTGAAATTGGGCCTTCTATATATAATGAAAATAATTTTATAGGTTTTGAGACCAAAATTTATGAAGATTTTTTTTAAGCTTCTGTTCCATTCCTATGGCCTTGGATGAGACTGTTAATCTTGACTTTTAATATAGTCTTGTAATATTTAAATAAAAGTGCTACCAAGATCAAGCTGAACAGGTCACACCATAAAATACCTTTAAATGATGCCCACCGTTGTGAGGTGTTTTCTTCTGTAACTTGCAAGACCAGGCCAGTAAAAACCTGGGTGAGAACAATCTTCTGGGGGTTGACCAGTGGCAGAGTGCCTGCCTAGCACATGCCAGGCTAGTTCTCTCACCCCAGCAGACCCACTGCTGTTGATGCTCAACCAAATAGGTGTGGGTTTCGAGACAGGGTTTCTCTGTAACAGCTCTGGCTTTCATGGAACTCACTCCCTAGATCAGGCTGGCCTCACAGAGGACCCGCCTGCCTCTGCCTCCCAAGAGCTGGGATTAAAGGTGTGCGCCACCACCACCTGGCCTCAAAATAGGATTTTAGATAGGTAGTGACTGGACTATGCCCTTGGTCCACTGTCTCCATTTTGGTTCTAAAAGCCCAGAAAACTTTCTAGAGGCTATAGCTTCTATACTGAGCCTACCTGTTGTGATGAGGTCCACAAAGTGACATAGCCACCACCTGCCCCCCGCCCCCCAGTCACCCTTTGCTGGGGGTGGGAGGATACAGAGACTTCTGATTTCCCTTTCTGGTCCTGTGACGGTGTCCGGTCCTACGGATTGCCTGGGATTGGAGCAGGTATTGTCCTTGCCTTGGACTGGGCTGGAGTTACCAGGCAGCTGTGTTATGTGATCCGTGCAGCAAGATGACAGGAAGAACCTTATGTACCAAACTGTTTATTAATCTTGCTGTGTTGTAGCCTGCAGTAGCTCTGCTCTAGGACTCAGCACATATAGAAAAATGCAAGGACCCAAGTGGTCCATAGCCATGGTGACCAGCTGACCAGCAAAATCAACAGTCACAGGAAGGGCAGCTGGTGGCTTACAAAGGTCACTTAGGTGGTGAGGCTGAGCCACTGTCCGGCCGCAGGTGCTGGGGTGCAGCAACTATTCCACCATCTGTCACTCATATTGCAGGAGAGAGAAGAATGGCACTGGTCCTAGCTTCTCTCTGCCCTTCAGTGAGGTCAGCTCCACCAGGCTCACACACTCCACCACCTCAGCCCGTAGCTGGCTCAGCAGTTCACAGGCAGCACGCATGGTTCCTGGGGTGAAGGGACAAGGGAAGAGAACATAGTAAGACTCTTTGCTGAGTCAGCACCCCAGACAGAGCTTGTCCCTTTGAAACCCATGGCTCTCACCTCCAGTGGCCAGGAGATCATCTACAACAACCACTCTTTGCCCAGGTTCTAAGGCGTCTTTCTGAATTTCCAGCTCAGCCTGCAGACAGGAAATAGAGTCTAGGAGTTAACAAGTGACCACCACCCCTAGCTTTTCCACATTTCCTAGTGGCATAAAACGGGTTTCAAACTTTCCCACACTGACTCCTAGACAGCTACCCACCTACCTTGCCATACTCCAGGGCATAGGAGGCTGACACTGTGGGGCCCGGCAGTTTCCCACGCTTCCGGATGAGCACACAGCCCAGGCCCAGCTCCTGAGCGAGGGAGGGGCCAAACAGGAAGCCCCTGGAGTCCAGGCCTGTTAGGGTGAGAGAGGGGTGTTGTTGGAGCTGAGGGGTGTGGGATTTCCAAGAGACCTAGTATTGAGAGAACAGTACTGGCCAGAAATACTAGGTCTTACTAGCTATAGCTAGAAGGCGCTGATGGCTGCTGGGTAGCTTCTTAGTCTTGGGGGTGTTATCTGCCTTCTGTATAGCTCAGGGACATCTACGCTTTTGCCACCTCTTTTTTATTTGAGACAGGGTTCTTCTGTAGCTTTGGAGCCTGTCCTGGAACTTGCTTTGTAGATCAGGCTGGCCCTGAACTCAGAGATCTGCCTCCTGGGATTAAAGGCGTGTACTGCCACCACCCTGTTTGACACCTCTCAAATGCAGCACTTTATCTGTAGTACAAGGTACAAGATGGGTCACCTCTGGGGAGGCCTCTGAGTACTTGTCAGGGTCACTCTGTTGTCTGGAGTTCTCACCATCTGGATCATGTCTGACTCCCCTGGTGGACATTCAGCAATCCTTGGGTGTTTCTGAAGCCCAAGCATGGAGCCTGGTACACCACAGGTGATCAGCCCAAGACTGTGTAGGAGAGACACTCCAGGATAGTCCTGAGGGATAAGCAGCCCCTGAAGGCTACCAGACTCTAAGCCCGACCAGGCACGCCCCCTTCTGTCCCAAGGCTACGCATTTTTTAGCATCTAGCTCATCCTAGAGATGAGCTAGCAAGTGACTACCCCTAGCAAGGCGGTCCATTTGGAGGTTCCAAGGCCTTCTTCAAAGTTCTCAAAGCACACATATGCTCCTTACAGTCCTGCCGTCAGGCTGCTCAACCTCCCGCTCTAAAAGAGGAAGGTCAACATGGACAGAGCAGAGTCCATCTCTAATAGGAACAGACACTGAGGTCAGAGGACCTAGCAGGGGTGGGAGACGCAGTAATCATCCAGGGTCAACAAGAAATTAAGGCAGGTAAGAACAGATTGCTAAAGGAGGGTCAGGGGTAGAAAAAAGAGGTGGAGGGAAGCCTGGACAGTGGGGAACCAGCACGGCCTAGCGTGGCCACTCGCCTGCGATGTAGTCGATCTTGCCGCCATGCGTAGACTTAAGGTGACTGGCCAGGAGGCGGATGGAAGCTCGGAAGGAGTCGGGGTCTTTCAGGAGGGGCGAGATATCCCTGGGAACAAGGACGGGCTAAGTGGGGGGCGGAGGCCCAGCAAGAGCCCCCTCACGACTGCCCACGCGCCTGCGCCGGGAGCCGAGCGCAGGGCGCCAACGCCTCGCGGGCTCGTGACCTCACCTGAACAGCACGCCGGGGATGGGGAAATCGGGAAAACTGCGGATGCGTCGCGCTACCAGCTGCAACTCAGGTTCCGCCATAGCCGCGTGCAGCAGGGAGAAAGGGCAGAGGGAGTGTTAGCCGACCGGAGTCACGCCTGTCCGGGAACAAGGGTGGGGCGTCATCGGTGGGCGGGGCTTCTGGGGCGGGGCGTCCTTAGGGAGTGGTCCTGCACGAGGGGCAGCAAGTGAGGGGGCGGGGCCTCTGGGAGCCGTGGGTGGGGGGTGGCCTCTGGCAGGAAGTAGCTCTTTTGCTCGAAACCTAGGTGACATCAAATTGAAAGCCTGGGGTTATTTCTGGGTGGAAAAAGGATATGAGCCTTGGTACCCTTTTGGGTTCTGGCTCCCTCACGCCTGCCTATTCAGTCCCGCTTTCCCCAGGGCCCGCCTTCTGGACCTGGAGTGTACTGTGCTTCCAGCGCGCAGTGTGAGGGAACCGAGACTCAACCCTGCTTTCCCACTAGCCTGGAAGGGAGCTGGCGGATAGCTTCAGGTCCAGAGGTGCAAGTGAATTATGTATGGCCTGGAGTAGAGGGGAAAAGCAGGGTAGCACTTCGGGGGGAGGTGGGGGTAGGGCCACAGACTCTCTTGTGCTTCTGCAGCAAGATGTATCCTTTTCGCTTTGTGGAGGGGACCAGAAGATCTGGACAGAAGACTGGGATCTACCTGCCCAGCATAGTACCTGGGTCTACAGGTAGTGATTGGAAGACTGTCCTCCGAGTTAGCATTATCATCTTCAATGGGGTTGTTATTAATCAAAAGAAATCCTTCAGATTGGGGTTATGTTCTGTCAAAGGAGAGGGTGTGAGGAGGGTCTAGTAGATCCCAACTAATCTCTTCCTCACTCCCACCTCCCTGCCTGCTGCAATTCTTCCTTTTGCGGTGGTCTCTGGAGGTGCTAGAGTACACACGTACAGACACACGTACACACACACGTGTACACACACACACACACGCGGAAGGTTAACTGAAGGGGAAGTTGTCATCCATGCTGGATTAAGACTTTCAGTTAGGGTGATGGAGCTGCTTTGGGGTCATCCATGCTCCTGTAATCAATGAGCTCATTGGACCCAATGGTTCCTTTGGTCTGTCATTGATATTCTATCTGAGGCACACAGATGTTTATGTCTCTCCAGGAGAAGTTCATACAACAGGCACATGGGCCATCTAATGTACAATGTCTCCCATCATCTCTATTCCAAATACCAGGATAGGTGGGCATGGTGGCATATACATTTAATCTCAGCACTCAGGAGGCAGCTATAGGCGGATTTCTGAGTTGGAGCCCAGCCTAACACATCTCCTGTTCATTTATTCTTGGAACAGAATAATTTATTATAAGGGAATTTATTCTCTCAATCTCTCTTCATTATCATTTTCCAACCTTCACAATTCAGCTTCGGCACTACAGTCATTGCACAGATGTGAGAACTTGTTCAGGATGGACAACTCCCGTGAGCCTTCAGGGAAGGGGTTTAGAGATTATATCTTGTAGCCTGCACATGACAGGAGGCAGGTACAGCAGAAGTGGTCCCATAGTGTGCTGAGCCAGAGCCAGAAATTTAGGATGTCATCTTCCTGTCTCTTGAGGGCAGTGACTGACCTCACCTTGGACCAGACAATGAAATATCTTTGTCTCTAGTTTGCAGCCAGTGGGAAAAGGGGGGTGGTCACTCCAGGGAGTTGACATGGGGGTGAGGACTGATGCCCAGGTAGATGTTGGCTCCTTGGCACAGCACTGAAATCTTCACCTTTGTCGATGACACCAAGGTTGAAATATCTGCAGGCACAGTGAGAAGACAAAGTGACAGCTCTTCAGACCCTGGGCTGCAGCACTGGGTCATGGTCAAGGCCAGCAGGGCACTAAGAACTTCTCTTTCAATAGCCAGCTGGGAAGATGGCCACAATGCGAGGGAGCAGACTCCGGATCAGGTCTCCAGTGTATGCAGCCTTGGACCCTTGCTACTGGCTGCAGAGGCCAGCCAACCAGTGGTGGGTGGGCAGAGGACAGCTGGTCTCTTTTGCCCATCAGTCCCAAGGCCAAAGCCTTCTAGGCACTTGCAGGGCTGGCTGGAGATTCTGATCTTGGCTAATGGGGCCAAGAGCACTTCTCAGGGACAGACTCAGGAGGTGTCAGACACTTTCCTAATTTTTCACAGCCTGGTGGTGCCCAATTCTAGAAAATGAAATTCAACAAAATGAACTCAGTTATTCAATCTGGACACAGTTACAAGATGTGGCCCTTCCGCCTCACCCACCCACTTGACCAGAGTGCACACACGGCCATCTCCATGCCTTCCAGAATCCCAGGAATGTGGAGCCCCAGGACCTTCTTCAAGCAGCAGCTCTGGATCTGCAGACAAGGGGGTGGCTGGTGGGGTTGCAATCGGAAAGCAAGTAGCAAGGAAAGTGAGGCCCAGTGAGGGAAGCCTCGGGGTAGAATTGCACCCAACTGCCTGCATCTCAGGCAGCTTACAAGTGGGGGAGCCAGGAAAAAGAGGCTGCTATGCCACAGGGAGACTAGGAAGGAGTTAGACAGACTCCCTGTTAGCTAGACAGACAGACACAGGGGCTCTATGCCTAGGCGATATAGATGATGAATTTCCAAGATGGCCAGCCTCTTCCTCACCCTCCTGACTCTTTACAAAAGCCCAGCAACTTAAGACACAAGCTTTGTAGGCGTCTGTCTCCCACCAGCAGGCCCCCTGCTTTTCAATTGGCTCAACCAGTTCCAGGCCTGTTCAGGACATGTCACACCTTGGGGGCTTGGGGAGGGGCTAGAGTACATAGGAGGGAGCTCTATCGACATAGCAATGGGGAGTCATCCTTGCTGGCTACAGACTTTACAGCATGGCTGCTTTAAGTGACCCCCTCCTTTTCCATGTTCCTGCCTGTAACTCTTCATCCACGGTCCTATGAGAAAGCCTATGCATTCTTTGGTTCCCCAGAGTAAACACTGGTGGGATGTACCTCCCTTTGTTATTGGGACTTTAGGAGGAGGGGTCGATGTTTCTATCTCCCCTGGGAAGGAGTTTAACAATAACCAGCAACACAGGCACCAGTCTGTGAACGCAGTGAAGAAGTTGGTCCCAGTGAGACCCTCAGAGGAGGCTGGGGCCAACATGGATAATTAAATCCACTTAAAACCTGAGAGAGTTCTAGAAGGAATTCTAGACCCAAAAAGAACAGAGTTAAACATGGCTTCTTGGTAGCAGCATTTTCTCAGGTGGGCTCTGTTAGCTAGAGGCAAATGTGTTTCATTTAAGAGAGGCTTCCTGACTCAGCTTTAACTGAAAAAACTTTGCAGCCCTTTTAAGAGGCCCCACCACAAACACTTAAATGGTGTTATGAATAGCCGACAGCAAGCTTCTTGGTGGTAGTAGGAACTCTGAAACTCCACAGAGTTGTAGCAATAAACATGGCTCCTGCCAGTACCTCTGCCATGAAGCTAGACTCTCAGAAAGCTAAGGAATGGGGTGGATCCAGTTGTCAAAGCCACTTTAGTGCTAGCCATATGGCTTAGCAAATTAAAGACTCATGTGGTCAGAGAAAGAGAGATAGACAGTAAAGATAGATTCAGATGGGGAAAAAAAACTCTAAACAGTTTAGAGTGTGTTTAAAAATATATGTAGGCTTGGGAGAGAAAAGAAAAAGGATAAAGTCCTTAAAATAAAAAAGAAAGAGAGTAGTTGGGTGTGGTGGCTCACACCTTTAATCCCAACACTTGTGAGGCAAAGGCAGGCGGATCTCTGTGAGTTCAAGGACAACCTGGTCTACATAGTGAGTGTCAGGACAGCCAAAGATATATAGAGAAAGCTAGTCTCAAAAAACCAAAAATTAAAAAATAAAAATAGAAGAAATAGAGTTTAAAATAAAGCCATGCAAAGATGAAAAATACATAGAGAGTCTGGATACTGAATGTTATTGTGTTGTCTTTGAATGGTTTGATGGCTGAGGAAGGAACAACAGCTGCTAAAAGACACTTGATTACAAATGCTGCTAGATTAATAGAACATATATATTTTGAAAATGCTTTGACTTCGAATTTTAAGTCAAAAGACATGTTACTTTGGAGAAGAGGTTTTGCTTTTGTTTCCACAGGAAATGGGAGGCTGTGGATTCATTGTGGGTTAAGAAAAATCAGATTTGATCAAGGAAGACCCCCTGAAAAGTCTCCAATAGGGTAAGATGGCCCAGATGAGTTTTACATCCAGAACAGATTCAAGACTGCTGGCTGAGTTGATTAAGCCTCAGAGAATATTCCAGTTAGGACTTGACCATACTTCAAATTTTTCTTTAGGTCCCCATAAGATTATCAGCATCCCTAATCAGCAGGAAGTAGCCTAGAAAACTACGTCCATATTCCCAAAAAATGAATTATGGATGTTTTTCTTGTTTAGAGTGTTGATTACAAGTTGTTATGGATAAAGGTCAGGAATAAAGCTAAACAAAGGATATTAGATTCAGAGTTCTTATTTTAAAAGGGGGGGGGGAGTGCTGTGGGGCAATGGCCTTTTATCCTGTCACTTACATTATTTTTAATAAAATGCTGATTGGCCAGTAGCCAGGCAGGAAGTATAGGTGGGGCAACAGCGATCAGGCAGAAAGTAGAGGTGGGGCAACAAGAATTCTGGGAAGAGGTTAGTTTGAGTCTGCAGTAGTGACCCAGATGTAGAAGAAGCAAGATGTGACTGCCTGCCAAAAAAGGTACCAAGCCACATGGCTAACATAGACAAGAATGGGCTAGTTTAAGTTATAAGAATCAATTAATAAGAAGCCCAAGCTACTGGGCCAATCAGTTTTAGAATAAAAAAAGTTAATAAGAAGCCTGAGCTAATAGGCCAACAGGTTTATGATTAATGTAGACCTCTGTATGTTTTTTGGGGGGACTGAACAGCTGTGGGACTGGGCAAGACAGAAACCTCTGTCAACAGGAGACCGTGCCCGGACCTGAACAAGGCTATTCACCCTCCAATAGTCCTCAGCAGTAATGGGATATTGTGTGTTTCCCTCCCATACTGATCAGAACAATGATTTCTATTTTGGTGCTTGAATGCACCTTGCCAGGCTGAGCTGCATGTATACAGGGAGCCAAGGTGTCCTCATGGCATGGGACAAGCACACGTAGTCAAGCACAGGCAAGCCTTGGCATGCATGCATGCATGGACCACTCACCATAACAGCCTGGTTACACACATTGAGCTGGGGCTGTCCTGGGACCAAGGACATCTGGTGCTGCTGGACAACTGGGGTGATCCTGCTGAGGGCATCCTGATATTCATCACTGGCAAAGCTAGAGAGAAGGCGGTTCTGGTTACAAGGCTATTGTGTCCAAGGTCAATCTGCTCCTGGCAGGCAGCTCAGGAGGTTCACAGACATTCTAGGACATGAAGTGGTCTAGTTTGGAAAGCCTGAGACCTCGTGTTGGTCTCTAGAGGTGGGAAGAGCAAGGGTGGCAGTCTGAAGTCAGAGTGGGCTACGGGCTCCCACCATGAGCCTCCCTGGACAGCTGTCTGTACTGTGAGCTGCTCTCCTGTTGTCAGACTCCACAAGGGAGGGAAATGAGGGCCTAGGAGGCTGAGCCATGGCAGCGAGTCCTCCTCTGTTACTGCCAACATGACCTGTGTGTGATGAGAACCCAGTGGTGTGGGTCGGAGACTGGGCCTCTCCACAAGAACTGCCACAACAGTGGTACTATTCTGAAACATATACACATATGACACATGCTTTTTCCTTAGAAGGAACTGTCTTATGTTGAGAAGGGATCAGGTACAGATGGAGAGAAAACACATACAGCCCTAAAGTTCCAGCACAAGCCTCCAGCATTTGATTCATTTTTGACTAAGGTTAATGGAGCTGGGTGCATGCCTTTAACCCCAGCACTCGGGAAGCAGAGGCAGATGGATCTCTGTGAGTTCGAGGCCAGCCTGGTCTACAGAGCTAGTTCCAGGACAGGCTCCAAAGCTACACAGAGAAAACCGCACAGCCATCTGCTGGACTGTCAGGGAATCTTTAGCTGAGTGTGAAGCAAACTAATAGCACACTCACTGTGTGACGTACAACACACACCACTGATATGCTCACAACGGAATAAAGAGGGCAGAGCCTGGGGCCGTGTACATACAGGGTGCCGAGCTCAGGCTGCAGACGAATCTCAGCTATCTGCAACTCAGGCTCTGACAAGCCATGGGCAGAGAGAATTCTGCATGTGAACCAAGTCCTCAGATTTCTTTGTGTCTCAGGATGACTGGTGAGAAGATGACCATAAGCTCCCTACCCTGCAAGTATCCCAACCATCACTGTGACCCTCAAGGGGCCTGAAGGCCTTCAGAGGCTTAGGCTGTCCTCCAAGCTTGTGCTGGATTTGGGTGCTCCCTGATGATAGCAGGGCCACTTCCAGTACAGCAACCTCCTAGAAAGAGGACTTAGGCTCCTGGGGCACAGTTATGTCCTGGGGAAGAGGCATCTCAGGATGAGAGATTCCCCAAGGACCCAAACTGCTCAGCACAAGTTAGATGTGGGTAAATGAAGCAGGGGGCATCACTAAAAGACACCGTGAACCTTGGGTTGATCCTGAGGACATGAGGCCAGTGGTGGTCAATTACATAGGCACTTATCTTATAGGTCAGCCAGTCAAGCCTGCAACCCCACCATCCCTTATCAACAGAGCTCCCATGGTTCATGACATTCATGTGCTAGTGGGTCTTTAGGAAATACCAGTCTCTGCCTGAAGAAAGGAAAGGAGGCTCCCCACCGTGGCAGTTTGGAAGCCAGAGGGTTGAAGTTGGGGCACTGCAGAAGACCACACTTCCTCTAGAGAACCTGAGAGGCACCTTCCTGCCCGGTCCAGCCCCTTGGCTCATCTCTGCTTAGTCCTTAAGCAGTCTTCCCCCACTTGATGTCTCTGTCCCTTTTCTCTCAGAATAATGCCCCACCACTCTCCAGGATGACTTCATTGTCATCTTGACCTTAACAATATCTACAAGACCCTATTTCCAAAAGGTTGCCTTCTGAGGTGCTGGAGACAGAGAGCTACTCACACAGGATGTAGGAGCAGCCTTAGGGACCTTCCTGGTGTCTTAAAGTCCTCTGTTTGATAATCTATTACCAAGTCCTAGCCTGTCACTGAGAAGGCTGTGCCTTCCAATCTGGCAGGAGTGCTATAGGACACAGGACTTGTATACCCTAGGCACCTACCACCCTGTTAAGAGAGCCATTAGCCTCCCGGGGAGAAGCAGAGTGAATTGGGCCAGAGTTGGCTTCGGAGTTGTTAGTAGATCTGGAGTTTGGTGGATGTGATGCCAGTCACTGACTGTGTGCACAGTGACGTTCAAATCTCGCTGAGAATAGGAGAAGGTAGGAGCAGTGTCCTTGAACCCTGCAGTGGCTATTTAGCTCACCAGAATTGGTCACTGTGGGTAGCCAGTGGGGACCACTAGAAACCCTCAGCTCCAGGATGCTGGCCATCACCTGAAGCACTTTACTCCAGAATCTAGGATCATGTCCCTGAACATCCTCACTCTCTTTCCCTCCTGTCAGTCCGAGGGCTATTCAGTGCAGACAGATGTATCCTAAGCCTGGATCCCTCACTCCTGCTGTTGGCCATCCCTGAAGGTACTAAGAGTATAGGACCCATTGCTAAAGGCTATCAGTGGACTGGACCTACAAGGGGCAGAGATGAGAAGCAACCAGAAAAGGAAAGCAAGAAGGGAGCTCCCAGAGAGCAAGGCAGCCATGGCCCAAGGTGGAAATGTAGCTTTCTGGGAATTGGTAGGTTCTACATCAGCCTTAGATGGGCGCCTAGAGTTCTGGTTCCATCCCTCTGTGTGGTTCATGTTCTTACAAAGACATACATACTCCTTTGAGACCAGAGGAATAACTCCAGGGAAGACAGGTTACCAGATGTGGCTCTCACCTTTGGCCTAGCTGGCCAGTGTCTCCTCTGGAGCGTGGAGACCCTGCCCCTGCCTCACCTGAGTGGGAATCTCTCCCCTGGGTCACGTCCCAGGTGGAAGATCAGGGGTAGCTCCGTGTGTTCTTCCTGGGAATGGGTTGTGACTCCTAAGACATTCTGACCAGGGCAGAAGTCAATGCCCTGCAACGAAAAGCATAGAGACCAAGTGAGCATCCTAGAGCCAGAGCCCACGCTGCAGGAGATGCCCTGCTGGTCCTGTTCTTCACACATCCTCCATACCCGGTGCCGCAGTGTTCATTGGTGGACTGGAGTCGGGTACAGTATGGCCACCTGGTTGAAGGGAAAGGCTTCAGGCTGACAGCTGCTCAGCAGCTCACTCTGGGTGTCTGCCCAAGTTTTCCTGTACCCTTTTATGGGAAAAAGCTCTTTACAGTAGCCTAGGCAGTTAGGCTGGAATCCCAGCATTTAGGAAGTAGAAGTAGGAATATGATGAGTTTGAAGTCAGCCTGGGCTACATGAGAGTCTCAAAACAAAATGAAACAGTCTGGGCAGTTCCATATCTTGACTTTGACCACTGGTTCAGAGGAGCGCTCCTGAGAAGGCCATAAAGCTCTCAGTGTGGGGTTGGAGAGAAGGCTCAGTGATTAAGAGCTACTCTTCTAGAGGATCCAGGTTCAATTCCCTGCACCCACATGACGGCTCACAACTATCTGTAAATTCCAGTCCCAGGGAATCTGACACTCTCACACAGACATGCACACAGGCAACACACCAATGTACATAAAATAAAAAAGCTCTCAGTGTGTGGCCAGGGGGAACAGTGAGCCTCTCAGAAGGGGATGAGTCAGGATGAGTCACTAGACCAGAGAGGAAGAAAGGACCTTTTGCTTGAAAGCTGAGAGACCCAGAGCTGAACATGGAAGCTGAAGGCTACAAACAGCTGTGACCAAGAGACTCAAGAGAAGAGCACAGACTACAAATAACCCTGATTTTTGCATTCAGAAGTACAGAGAGAAGGCTTAACAAGTACTTATGTATGCAGCATGGAGCCAATCCCTAAGGCTTCTTGTGGGATAACTCGGCTGCTGAAGTTATCTCTCCTAGTCACAGCTTGGTTCCATTACAGTGGTTCCCGTCTGCAAGCTTGTCTTTTGCCTCGACCTTCCCTCCCAGATCTCCTGGTTACTCTTTAGGGTGCACTGATGGGAAATGGGGAATGTCCCAAATCAAGCCTCCAACAGTCCTAGACAGAACTGTGAGGCAGGAGCTTACTCTAAGTACTGTAACTCAGGGGCCCTAGTGCCAGCCATGTTGACAGTGAGAGACAACACTGTTCACATTTTCAGTGGTTGGACTGAAAAGTGCAATGCAGTGTAGCTCACTAACAAATGTCTCTAACACCTTATACAAAACCCCTGTGCTGGTGTTACAGTGTGCAGTTATATAAACCCCTGTGCTGGTGTTACAGTGTGCAGTTATATAAACCCCTGTGATGGTGTTACAGTGTGCAGTTATATAAACCCCTGTGATGGTTGTACAGTTTTTAAAGCAGGGAGGCCATAGGCTATGAAGTTCCATGTGCACTGAGCTGAAGAGACAAGTTGGAGGCTGGAAGGACAGGCTACCTTCCAATCAAAGTGGGCTCCAGAATCTGGGCCTCCTGGAAGCCCTGCCAGGGGACAAACAAACACTGCACAGCAGGGAGCCACCGCTGTTAGCATGAAAATGTTAAACAGTGGAGAAGTACCCAAGTCTAGATGGAGCACATAAATTATAATTTGGATGCAAATCAAATAAGCTATTTAATTAAGATTCCGCTAATTGGTCTAGGAGCTCTCTTACAGCTGTGTTGTCTGAGCGCCTCACCCCGGGGCACTGGCAGGGAAGTCTGCCTGTAGTGCATTAGGCTTTATCGTCCCCACAGAGCTGGACTCTGGTCTGGCTCTGGAAGCACAGATGGACGGCACAGGCAGGATGCTGGAAATCAAACACTGAGTGTGCAGAGGTGGTGAGGGACACAAACCCTCTGATGGTGAAGGTTCAGGTATTGTAGCAGCTGAGGTCTGAAGCTAGTTCACTGAGCAATCTGAGGCTGTTAAGACAATGCCAGGAATTCCAGAAATGAATGCAAAAAGACCTGGGCTGTTCTCACACCTGCAGAAGTTCACGTTAGCAGGGGGCGGATTGTGACCTTTTGCCTTTAAAAAACAACCCTCCCCTTCTAGCTGGGCTTCAGTTCTAAAAGCCAGATCGTGGGAACTCAGAACAGCTGCAGTTTAAATTAAAAAAAAAAAATCACCTAATTAAAAAAGAAAGAAAATAAAAAGAGCTGGGGAAGTAGTGGTGCACACCTTTAATCCCAGCACTTGGGAGGCTGATCTCTTTGAGTTCAAGACCAACCTGACCTACAGAGCAAGTGCCAGGACAGGCTCCAAGGCTACACAGAGAAATTCTGTTTCAAAACAAAACAAAAAGATCTGGGTAGCGGTGGCACACACAATCCTAGCATTTGGGAGGGAAGCAGAGGCAGGCAGATCTCTGAGTTTGAGGCCAGCCTAGTCACAAAGTGAGTTCCAGGACAGCTAGGGCTACACAGAGAAACCCTGTCTCGGAAAAACCAAATCAAAACAAAAAACCCTGCTCCAAATGGGTCTGGCACCCTTGTCCATCTCTGTATTTTCTCCTCACTTCCCACCAGGCCTGGCTGGTTTCTAGCACTGGGTTGCGAGGAAGGGATGTTAAAGCTCCCACTAAAGGGTGGGGCCTACTTGTCACTGTATCGAGGACCTGCCCATTAGTCTATATGGAAAAATCACACCAAGGAATCCTGGGTTCCACTGGTCCCAGGACCAAGTAGGAAGTGGAGCAGGCTAGCCATTCAAGTGACCTGGAGTAGAATGTGCAGGCTATAATGCCTCGGTGTTCTTCTGATGGAAGCTCCACCCTGACCCCTGGCATCCATATAGCCAAAGAGTCTGGGATGTTCTGGTGGAAGTCCTACCCCAAACCCCCTTCTTCATCTCTCTCCAAACCCTGCTGCATTTCAGAAAGCCCATCAAATGATGACCCCTTCCCCAGAGATGCTCAAGACCACTACCACAGGGTTTAAACTGCCCTCCAGAAAACAGACTCATGTTTTTTTGATCTCTCTTCCCCATCTCCTTCCTTGGGTGGAGGGGGGGCGCAGAAGATCATCCAGGAGTGTTTTACCCATTAAACCTGGGTTTTTTCTAATTCAGTTTGATTTGGTCTGATTGGATTGCTGTGTCGGCGGAGAGGCTTATAAGGTGCAGGAACTTTTCACTTAGGTCTGGCCTTAGAGCAAGAGTGGGGCCAAGGTACAGAGGGACCCTAGTGGGACAGCCATATAGACTCTAAATAAGCCTTCTCCCTATGTGTTTGCCATCAGGAGGGGACAGTGAGCAGATCCATGATTTCCAGCCCGTGGACTTGTGTCCCAGGGGCAGCTCAGATGGCATGAATTTGTCCTTCGTGGGATTCCTCCTCAGCTTCAAAACAGCCTGTGGAGACCCTAGCATCTGAAATAAGAGCACTGTGTACAGGGTGCAGAGGAGCTTGTGACAGCATGAGTCCTCCACAGGCTGACCCGCAAAACTATGCAGGTAACATAAGGCCAAGAAACCAGGGCCTATGTTAGTGGCACAGGGCCGTGAAGGCCTGGGTCCATCAGGTAAACCCAAGACCGATGTTGGCTCTTCTGGGCCTAGCTGTAACCTTTAACAGGTGACCCACTGTATAGACCTCAGTTCTCTATGTAACATGGGCCTCTCAATTTAAGATTAAGAGGGTGGGATTGATGGACCCTGGTCTCCTGACGTGACTGGAGTAGGCTAGGAGCCAACTTGTTTTTGGTCGTGGTGTTTCATCACAGCAACAGAAACCCTGACTAGAACACAGTGTCAATGGCATGGCAGGCCAATGTTTAGGATGGCCCTGAGGCAGTATGGGTCGGAAAGGGGATGGATGAAACATGGGTTTTGGACATTATCCTAGGCTGCCCAAAACTTCTAAACAAGGCACTGGGGAGTCATACCTTTGAGTTATGGCCACATGCCCACCTGGGTATATGCTGTTTACCTGCCCAGCTAAGCCTGGCATCCTGCCCAGCCCAAAGCCCTGCATAGCTGGAGCCTCCTGAGCTGAGACATTTGTGGTTTGCTTCCTAGTTGGTTCAGAATGTTCTAGTATTTGGGTTTTTCATTAAGTAAATGTCTTCCCTATTAAGGCACATTAGTAGGTTTTCAAGTGTTTAAAGACCTTGGGAAGCCTGAGGGGATGGAGGAGGTAGGTCCAGCAGCTTGCAGGACAGAAGGCCTATGGCAGCCCCGCATGGGCCAAGGAGCCAGCAGGAGCCTAAGCTATATGTGGGGTGGCACTTCACCTTCAGACCGCGAACAGGCACAAAGATGTGGATATGGGTGCTGCCATTTGTGGGTATTAGCATCTGGGCTTGAGCAGGCCACCACCCGTGAGGCCAGTCTTAGAAGGAGCAAGAAACGGGGCGCTAAGGAGAGGCTTAGGGGCATGGTAGATAATGGGGCGCTCCACCTGAACCTGGGCCTTGTGCTCTCTGAAGACCTCCTATGAAGGTAGGACGTTCCAGGAGAGTATGTGTCCCCTAGTGTCTTTCTCTGTAGGATACCTCTCATATACCCTAGCATTTCCCAGGGAGCCCAAATCACACAGGAGAGAAAGAAGTGTGCCTAGCCTTTATCCCTGGATACCTGCACATGATAACTGAGAATGGGTAGGTCCCACAGGGCCACACGAAGAAGGGAGGCTGTAGGGCCATGGCACCTCCCCTGGTGGTAGCTTAGAAGTAGATAAATCACGGTTCTCCAGGAATCTCCCAGGCTTGTACTCAGGGGCCTGTACCTGTCTGAACTCCTCCCAGGAGTTGGTCCAAGTCCAGAAGTAGGCCTTGTACTGGCCAAGAGTGACTGCCATCAGTGTGTTGCCACGGTAATAAAATATGGGCCTGTTGTGTTGAGGAGAGAAAGAATCATGACCAAGTCCATGTATTCATGTGTGGGGCTCTGGCTGGGGAGTGGTGAGCTGCCCATGCGGGCATCAGCTAATACTTCAAAGATGTACTAAGGTCTCATAAGTGCAAAAGGTAGGAGGGGTGGGGGTGAGTGGCTCAGTAGAATGCTTTCCTAGCAAGCATAAGGTCCTGGGGACCCACATGGCACTGTGTATGTGTATGTGTGGTAGCCAACAAGGCTATAGGGATTGACCCAAGTCATTCCCTGTTTGTTTCGGCCTTTGGTGAGGCAAAGCCAGGCTCTAGGAGGTTGGGCTGGCAAAGGAGTTGAACTGGTGACAATGATCCTCCTTCTTGGAAATCAGATGGGTCTGGGACTGGAAGAAGCCCTCCTCCCAAGCCTTAAGATGCTTTCCTTAAGAGTCAGGGTTTCCCAGTGTCCCAATGGACCCAGGCTGGTTTCCTTCCCAGCGTATACAAGGGTCTAGCTGCGAGGTCCCCCCGGTCCCATCTTGTCTCCCTCTGTTTTCACATGTATTCTTTCTTCCTTCCGTATGGGTCATAGCTAGTCAATGAGGAAGTTATAGCCTGTGAGCAGCCCTGGGCCCCATCCTGAAGAGTGGGAGCAAGGGAGGTAGGACTGGGGCTGAAAAGGATGCTGTGTAGTACCAACCTGTCCATCACGTGGCCCTGGAGCATGGTGGGGAGTAGGTTAAGTCCGTCGATTACCCTGTCACTAGGTGGGTTCAGGCCTGCAAGGGACAGGCTGGTGGTAAAGAGGTCCATGATGCTTCCCAGCTGGCGGCTGACCTGAAATAGATGTAGTACTCCTTTGAGGCGTCCTGAGCAGATGGTGCTGGGGGGCTGGAGCCTGAGGTGCTGAACACCCGGTTCTCCTCTGGGTCAGCAGGTATGCACACATGCTCCAACATGTACATACCTGCCACATACCATGGGGGGGGCGGGTCACGGCCAGGATTGAGAGAAGTCACGGGGCTCCTGGGTGGTAAATGGGATTTAGACTGCATATCTGACTCAGAGTCAGGTCACATTCATGCCCCGCTACATGTGGATCGGCTGTCATAGCTAGACCCAGAATGCTAGTAGCTCCTCCTGACTTTTTTTTTTATAATTTATTTTTTATTCACTTTAAATAATTTATTTTTATGTCATGTGCATTCATGTTTTGTCTGCAAGTATGTCTGTGTGAAAGTGTCAGATCTCCTGGAGCTGGAGTTACAGTTAGGAGCTGCTATGTGGGTGCCAGGAATTGAACCCAGGTCTTCTAGAAGAGCAGCCAGTGCTCTTAACTGCTGAGCTATCTCCAACCCCTCCTCCTGGCTCTTTACACCACAAGGGTCCCACCTTTCAAGGCTTAGCTGCCCCAAGAGAGTAGGCAAGGTTCACTTTAACACTTGACACCAGAAGGCTACAGTGAGCTTTGCACATCAAAAGAGCAGAGGCCAGGAAAGTCCCAGAAGTAGCAAGGAAGTCAGGTGGAGAGGAACCAACCCAAATGGTGCTGCCTCCTGCTCTCCCCACTCAGAAGCTCCAGGAGAGCCAGGGGCGCTTGCGGGACCCACTACTGTCCATCTGTAGATGCATTAGCTCTGTGGGAAGAGTCTTTGTTTTCTGTTCGTGTTCAAGGGCAGCCCCAGTCAATAGGTGATTGGGGGGTCTTCTGTGGCTCTGCCTCCTTGGTAACACTGAGCTCTAAGTACTTCTGTCCTGGAGACAGGGAGTGTGCTTATCTCTTTTTCTTGACCTCTGTGGCTTGGGAAGGTCAGTGTCCAAGGAGCACAGCCTCTGGAGAAGGGTGTTTGTGGTCCTCTAGGAAGACAGGACTCCACAGCAGCCAGTCAGGACCTCACCCATGTTCAGTTTAGACCTCACTTCTCTTACCACTTCCTGCCAGCTAGAGAGACTAGTGAATAAACCTTGAACAAACCCGGCCAGACCTGACCGAGGAACCTCTGTTCCCCTACGGTTTGCTGAAATCCTCCACCTCTGTGTTGAAACTCCAGCCCCTTACTGCCATTGCCTAACACATCGCCTGCATCCTGATAGCTTGGGGGCAGAGCAGTTTCTAAAGATAAAATGGCCTTATTTGGACAAACAGCTCCAGAAGAGACCCTTGCAATCTGCACGTACTCTTGTACCTAACTCCTCATTCCCAAACCCCACAACCTCCCCTATAAAAGATCCCAACCAGCTCTCCCCGCCCCCACCCCGTAGACCCCTCCTTCACTGTCTGTCCTTTACTGCTAGAAATAAAAGTCCTATCTGTTGAAGTTGGTCAGACTCTTTCCTGCCTTTTGTCTCTTTACTCTGTACCCCAAAATCTAACAGACATGACTTACCATATAACAGGGTCCCTGACTGACATGGACACTCTTCTATAGAGTCTGCTTGGGAATGGGACATTCTTACAGGTGCCAGTCCCCCTACCTACGGCAGCAGGGGAACAACAAGGGCCTTCTGAGTGGTTCATGGTCCCTTCTAAGTATTTCCCTCCAAAAAAGAGGGAATGGGGTTGCAGATCCAGAAACTTAAATCATTTGGAAACAAATAAGAGAAGGGAGCATGTCCCTGGCTGAGGGATTGAAAGGAGGGGATCTGACAGCTCTGTCAGTACACAGAGCTGAGCTCAGGGAGCTCTTTGTGATACTGTACTCAGCAGCAGGAGGTTGCTGTGAGCTCTTCCAGATGAAGCTGCATCAAAGGCTGCAATTATACCCCTGCTGCCAGGTGCTAAGTGTCTGCTGCAGGGCGGATGAATGTCGGGGTGTTTTAAGTTATTACGGAGCACAGCGTAAATCCCATGGAAACCCATTCCAGTTTGTTGTCTTGTGGGAAGCATGGTGAAAAGAAAGCCACAGCTCTTTCTCCCCTCAGAAGGCAAGGCTGTGTGCCTTTGACTCCAGTGTCAAACCTTGTTTTTCCTCAGCTGGTGCCAGAGGGCACCTGGCAGGAACAGCTGTGGAAGCAGATGCTCTTGAGCCCAATGGACTTAAGTTCAGTGGGCTAGGCATCCCTGGCCTGCAGGCAGCTCCAGCTCCCTTTTCCCAGTTACCTCTCTGCGCTTTGCCAGTACCAGGTGGGAGTGGATTTTAACCTATGATTGGTTATGGCTCCTCATGGTGGAACAAAGGCCATACCAAGCGTCTCTTCCCTGGAAAATCTCATGAGTCTCCTGTGTCTCCATTCCTCACGCAATGATAATGATAACTGGCTCAGTGCTCCCACAGCTACATGAGAGCTGGGAGCGATGACCTTAGGAAATGAAGAGTTCCCTCTCTTCCACAGGTGCAGCTGTGGGCCAGGTCCCTTTCATACAGGTTAGATGGTCATGGCAGTCTGTATGTCCATTAGGATTCCAGTAGCCGTGTTTCTTCTACATGTGATGTGTTTACTGCATGGTCACTCTGTTCTACAGAGGGAGTTGGCCAGACGACAGGCAGGCCTGTTCAACAAACTGTGAGATCCACCAACCTATGGTGCTCTGGTGATTAGTATGACCTGGAGTCTCATATTAAGAGGCCATAGGCAGAGGGAGTGAGGTGCAGAGGCTCAAACAGGTCTAGGTTTAGAAGCTAGATACTTTTTTTTAAATATTTATTTATTTATTATGTATACAATATTCTGTCTGTGTGTATGTCTGCAGGCCAGAAGAGGGCACCAGACCTCATTACAGATGGTTGTGAGCCACCATGTGGTTGCTGGGAATTAAACTCAGAACCTTTGGAAGAGCGGGCAATGCTCTTAACCACTGAGCCATCTCTCCAGCTCCTAGAAGCTAGATACTGAGGATAAGTTCCAGTTGTTGCTGGGGACACATGGAGACTATCCAAAGCATGGTGAGTAGGAATGGAGGTCCCGTCTGGATGCCTGGGGGTTGCTGCCAGTTCTGCCATTGTAGCTGGCAGGCTGGACAGGTGACTTCTCTGGGCCTCACTTTCCTAATCTGTGCAGTTAGAGGGGAGGGTAAAGACTGTGTCTGTCAGAGTGACAGCCATAGGGACATTTGCATTGCAATCCCTGGACTCTGTGGCTATAGGATCCCACACAGCAATAGGCACGTGAGACAGCAGGTGGGATAGAGGAGGCTGGCCTGTACTGTCCACGCAAGCAGTATTTGTTACAGTCAGTTGTCCTGTCCACCCCTAAGTATATGGAGGCTGCCACTGCAGGGTGAACTGAGGAACCCAGAGGGACACTGTCTTCAAGATCACCAGGGAAAGAGGCCAGCTGAGGAACAGTGATCTAAGCAACAAGCACTTAGTGTGGCGACTACAAGTTCCAGACTGGATTCTTAGACAAGGGGTGGCCTACCTGGGGCCAAAGCTTGGGGGTGAGGGTGCTGCCTGGTATGAAGGTGGCCAGACTCTCCCACTTGAGGCCCACCCCTGGTCTTTGCCACAAAGACATCAGGGCTGCAGCTGTCCCTTGTGGTAAGTCACAGAACATGGGCAGTTAGTTGACTACAGAAGCCTCCTTATCACCTGGACACTGATGCCCCAGAGACCTTGCAGGAGATATAGCTTCAGTGTGCAATGCTGACTTACCTGGCCTGCAGCAATGTGCCCCGGCCACCATGCGATCGCAGGTTCCCTCATCCCACCTTCAAATGTCGTCTGCTTCCCACACAGGAAGGGACCATTGCTGCCACCTGAGGATGAGAGTCACTACCTATCAGTTTCAAGATCTCAGGGCTCAGATCATCTGGGGAATCAGGGACACACAGCACCCCTGGTGGGCAATCTTGACTTTTGAACTCCTGGTTAGGCACATTTGAGTCCTGAGGTCATCACAGGGACAAAGAACCAAGAGGAGAGGTCAGGCTGCAGACACAAGTCAGGACACCTGGGTAGCTCTGATCCAGACAGCTAAGATGCTCTGGCCAGAGCTTTCCAGAGAGAACAGAAAATTCTTGCCACCAGCCTCTACTCGCAGTCACTGCTCAGAAACGGAAAACAGCCATAGACACCCATTCCTATCACAAGCAACAGATACTGACGCTTTTGAGTTAGTCTTCTTAGATGCTAATATTCCCAGGCATCATGTACTGGGGAGGGTCCCACTTAAAATGCAGCCTGCCCCAGGTCCCCTCTGGTCTTCACAGTCAGGACCTTTGGAAGAACAGGCACTATTCTTAACAGCTGAGTCATCTCTCCAGTCCCCTATTTTTCCACTTTTTATAACAAGTTGGAGCACAGATTTGACAGACTCCAGGGATTTGTCATCTTCTTTATGGCCACCATCATTAGGTTCAGGATGGCTCTTGCCCTCTAATCTACCAAACATGAGAGCAGCTACCAAGGTCTTAAGGTCACAGTTAGAAATGACCTCCAGGTCAGCCTGGCTAAGCTCGGTGGTCTTTTCTATTGTCAAACCAGCTTTTCCTTAGTTTACGAGGCTATACTGGGTTTCTTTACCTGAAACTGGGAAGCTTCCAGGACCCTGGGTGGTAGGACTCACTGAGCCACCTGGAGGTAGCGGAGCCCAAATTGCCTAAGGGCAATACAGGATGAGGAGATTATTGTGCCCTCAGCTGTGATAGGTACCTCATGTTAATAGTTGAGCCCTTGCAGCACCGTGGGTGACTGTTCCAGGTTCACCAATTGGACAGCTCCCAAGACAGGATGTTTTTCCTGCCACCTCTGTAGTAGTCAAACAAGCTCTACCCTAGCACCACCAGGTATTCTGCCAAAGCCCTGGCTGCCAAAGTCTCCTTAGCCTGAGGCTTCTGGAAACTGGCTTCTTGCAGGTAAGGACCATCCCGAGACAGCATATCCTCCCCATGACACTTGCCTGTTCCCCTCTCTCAGGATTCAAATTCATGTGAACCCAGGCCAGGCCTGAGTCAGCAGGGTCAAGACTTTGCTGCTAAGTAGAGTTTCAGTCTGTGACCGCCTTCTTGTCACCAACCTAGGGCCAGAGGACAGGAAACAGAACTTGCCTTCTTTGGGAGCAGAAATGAGGGCTGCACCATTATCGGATGTGAAGAAGACAAAAGTGTTCTTACTGATGCCCAAGTTCTGCAAAAGGCTCAGAATTTTTCCAACACTGTCATCTATTTCCCGAACAGCATCACCATACCTGCAGGGGAGGAGGACATTCTATGGGGCAGCTGAGGGCATTAGTGTGACCTGAACATTAATCTTATCACTTTGGAGATGACCAGCGGGGCAGCTAGCTGCCTCTCAAAGGGGCATTTTCAAATGGTTCACTGCAAACAAAGCCGACATAACCCCTACAGCTTTCCTCTCATCACTGATCCTAGGTTGGAGGAAGTCATATCTTTCTTTTACGGTGCTGGGGAATGAACCCCCTGGGTTCAATGGCCTCATGTATGCTAAGCAATCTTCACAACTAGAAAACATCCCAGCTGCTTTGGAGTTCCCATAATGCTCCAGAGCACCCACCCACTGAGACTGAGCAAACTAAAGGCCCCAGTGGGGCTTACACTTACCGCCCTCGGTGGCTGGTACCCAAGAAAGGTCTTGAGGCATAAACTGGTGCATGTGTGGCGTCGATGGCCCAGTAGAGGAAGAAGGGGCTTTGCCTTGCATGCTGAGTCCTGATGAAGTCTAGAGCTTCCTGTGGGAATAGCCTCCATTCTCCTCTGCTTCAGGTCAGTTCATCCCTCTGCTTCCCCAGCATCCTCCTGCCTCCTTGCCTTGACCAGCCTACTAGGTCTTACCTGTAAGTAGATTTGGGTGAGGTTAGCTTCCCCGGTCTTCAGGTTAATTGGGAATTCTTCATAAAATCTGAAAGCAAAAATCAGAATTTAGTCAGAAAAGCCCCTTCCTTAATTTCAGTAGGGAATGTTCCATGTGAAGCTCACACAGCTCTTAGGTGAAGATCCTGTCTGAGGTGACAAGGCTCTGATGGCCCCAGCATGTAAGATGAGTGTAGAGCAGGTGTGTGTGTGTGTGTGTGTGTGTGTGTGTGTGCGCGCGCGCGCGCGCACTGTAGAGATGAGACAAGGTCTGAAGGTGCAGCTAAGGACACAGGCTTTAAAAATAAATGCATATGTATATATGTGTATAGGGACACATGTAATGCAGGTGTACATGCAGTGGTGCACACATATGTAGAGGACGGAGGACAATCTCCTTGAGATGGGTCTCTCTCTTTCTGTCTTACTGATTTTTTTTTTTTTTTGAGATAGGGTATTACTGTGTAACCCAGGCTAGGCTGTGTAGACCAGGCCAGGCTGGCCTCACACTCTCAGAGATCTGCCTCCTTTTGTGTCCCAAGTGCTAGTATTAGAGGGGTGCACCAACATGCTGGGCCAGAGTCTCTTATTGGTTTTGAACTCATAATTAGGCTGATGGGCTAGTGAGCCCCAGGGATCCTCCTGTCTCAGCCTCCCCAGCACTGGGGTTACAATGGCATGCTATTCTTCCCAGCTTTTTACACTAGCACTGAGGACTGGACTAAGGTCCTCAGGTTTGTGAAGCCAACACTTTATTGACCGCAGGGATGACTGTCACTGCAGATATAAGGCACTCCTTTCCCAAAAGGGCAGTGTTTGGCTCAACCTTTAGATGCTGATACAAGAACTTCCACCAAGGAACAAAGGAGGAAGGAAAAGAAAATTTAAGCAATCAAAATTCAAGAAAGATGAGTCAGGTCCTTGACACCAAAGCTACAAGTTGGAGGTACCCAACAATCGGTCACCCAGGTGGTCTCCCCTCCAGAGTAGAGATCTCTTTCTATGGTAACAATGGGCAGTCCCCGGAGTGACTCTCACATCAACTTAGCCCCACATTCTCCTCTCTTGTGTGCAGCTATTAGGCCAACTTAGTGCCTGAAGATGATGGTTACCCCACCAAGAGGGTACATGGGTCCTAGAGCCTCCAAAACACAAGCTAAGAGCACACCTTGGATGCAGGAGGACTTTTGAGCACATATCTGAAAGGAATCTATAACTCTGGAAAGGTTAGAAACAGCCTCAGGTGAGACTCGGGAGGTCCTGGGAAAAACTGCCTAAGAAGCAGAGATCTCACTGTCAACTCATAGGGTACCAGATGCTGGCAGGTGGTTCAGGAGGGAGGGAAGGCTCTGTCTGTTACCTGCTAGGGTACCAGATGCTGGCGGGTGGTTCAGGAGGGAGGGAAGGGCTCTGTCTGTTACCTGCTAGGGTACCAGATGCTGGCGGGTGGTTCAGGAGGGAGGGAAGGGCTCTGTCTATTACCTGCTAGGGTACCAGATGCTGGCGGGTGGTTCAGGAGGGAGGGAAGGGCTCTGTCTGTTACCTGCTAGGGTACCAGATGCTGGCGGGTGGTTCAGGAGGGAGGGAAGGGCTCTGTCTGTTACCTGCTAGGATACCAGATGCTGGCGGGTGGTTCAGGAGGGAGGGAAGGGCTCTGTCTATTACCTGCTAGGATACCAGATGCTGGCGGGTGGTTCAGGAGGGAGGGAAGGGCTCTGTCTGTTACCTGCCGACCATCTCCCAGTCCCTGTACACGGGGATGTTGGGCTTGACCTTGTTGTCGTAAGGTCCAAAGTGACAGTTGGGGGATCCAAACCACTCATCAAATCCATGTTTCAGGGGGTGGAACTGGGGTCTGTGACCTAGATGCCTAGAAACAGGAACCAAGACACATCAGAGACCCCCCCCCAACTGGGGACATTCCAGTGTTTTGATCAACAACAATCAGTCACCATCACAATTGCAAACCATATAAACAGGCTGTAGTACCCCACCATGTACACACCAAGATACAAAATATCAAGACCTCACTTCAAGGAGGAGCATAGGAACCATCTGCCCTCCCAGACAATGCTAGTGTCCAGAACTCTAGGCATATCCAAAGGCATCCAAGCATAACTGGGGGTATTTCAGTAGAGCAGAATGTCCTGACCAAGCCAAGGGCTTCCAGGCACAGCCGAGAGTGTCCCAGCACAGACAATGGCATCTGGGCACAATGAGACACAAAAGAGGGTTTAGGGGTCCCCTCAGTATCTGAAGGATAGTACATGGAGAGAAATCTCCCAGATGCCTTGAAAGCAGCTGGATGCAAGCGCCCACTTCAACTATCTCTAGGCTCTAGCAGCTTCCCTTGCCTTTCTTTACCCTCAGGGACACTCCAAGGACTGTGTTGTCCCTTGGGTTTCTAGTCAGGCAGGTCATGGCTCCATCTGTTAACACAAAAGCCAGAGTATTACCCCAGCTAAGGGAAATCACCAGGAAGGTGGCTGGGTGGGAAGACGATGCAGTGCTTAGGACTGTCCCCTCATCCTCACAGGCCAGGGCATGAGCAAAAAAGAATATGGCAGTATGCCTACTCTGGTATAGTGCAAGCTATGCGGAGATCCAGAGAAGGGTCCACAGAGGAAAGCTTCACAGGGTAAAGGGCCTTAGGAAAAGCTGCGGGATCCCCCAACCCCATGCCAGGTATTACCCCATGCTCTGTGTACACTGTAAAGATTTGTCACTCGTATTGGTTTAATAAAATGCTGATTTGTCAGTAGCCAGGCAGGAAGTACAGGCAGGGAAACCAGAATAGGAGAATTCTAGGAAGAGGAAAGGAGAGACACAGTCACCAGTCAGATGGAGAGAAAGCAAGAGGAGAATGCCTCACTAATAAAAGGGTACCAAGCCACGTGGCTGACAAAGATAAGAATTATGGTTTAATTTAAGTTTTAAGAGCTAGTTAATAATAGGTCTGAGCTAATAGGCAAAACGGTTTATAATTAATATAAGCCTCTATGTGTTTATATGGGACTGAATAGGTATGGGACCAGGTGGGAAGAAACTTCTGTCTACATCCATCCTGCCTCCTTTTCTTTCAGGGTCACTTAATTGTATTTTCTCCATCTACTAGTAACCACAGGAAGGCTGCTGAGAAGTGCCACTATCCCAGCTCCAACTCCAAGCATCAGTGGGTCAGCAGTCCTGAGGTTTCCCTGCAGGAAAGCCTGTCTTCCCTGGGGACTCCAGCTCCTACCTGCTCTTTAGAGCACATGCTAGTCTACCAGACTCCAAAACATGCTATGTGTGCCATTATCATCCAGCCTGGGACACAGATCTGTTTATGTGTGTTGTACACGCACACCTGCAGAAAGCCTTTTTCAGGTACAGCTTTCAATATAGCATCCCTGAGGGGAGTGTCCTTTTCCCAGCTGTACTTGGGATAGGCTATCTTCAGGGGGTTCCACCTCGACCTTTCCTCCGTGTACAGAGTATGCAGATCCAAGGTTACCATTCCGTGGGTAGGGTGAAAGGGCAGCAGAGAAGTCTTGGGGGATAGCTAGCTGGTCATCAACTCTTCTACCTTCAGAGAAGAACGCCTGTCTAGAACTCAGTTTCCACACCTGAGGGGAGACTGGCACAGCATGGTTGGCTCTGCAGTGCTTGGTCTGCCTAATGGCTGCACACAGTGAACCGTTAGAACTATTCTCTGACCTTCACATACTCAGTCTATGATCACCCCTTTGAGGACCAGTGCACCACTATGGTGAAATGACATATCAGATTAAGTCAGCCTGCATTACATCCTCTGTGTTGCTGTGCTCTCAGGCCCACTACAAAGTATTTGACCTTTCCGATTACTGCAGAGCAGATGGGAGGACCCTTGTGTCTATGTCTCTGTGTAGGAGAAGCACGACCAGTCCCTGCTTGGACACAGTTATAATCCTAACAGTGGCTGGTACTGACCAGCAGGCGAGCAGGACTGGAGAGTGGGCTGGTGGTCTCCTGCGATTTGAGTTCCAGTCGCATTCACCCGCAATTGGCTGCTGACAGACTATGTAGTCTACTTGCAGGAGTCTAAACTCTGTGTCCATGCAGGACTTGGTGAGGGAAATGAAATCTAGACCTGCAGTGTCAAGGTCTATATAAAGGACACAGGGCAGTACTGGCTATAGCTCATAGCCCTGGACTAAATCCTGCTCATCGAAGAGATCTGCCTCAGCTGTTCCTCTTGGTCACCTCTTTCCTATCAGAAGTCATCCAGGAAGATGAGTAGCTCTGTGGAAACTTGCTTCCTGCTCAGCTTTGGCCCCCTCAGTCCCCGACAGTTGGAAACTGTGGACCTGGCAGAACTGTCAGGTGAGACACAGGCATCTCTGGTTACTGTGGGACCTCCAGCTCTTTGCCTGCCTCTACCATGGTTTCATGGACTTCCTTGCCACCTGCTTAGTATTGTGCAGATGAGTAGGGACCTGATGCCTGTCAGCTCTTCTCTGCCACCATCCCCTTGTTATGGCTAGGTTTCATTTTTTTGCTTGAAAGATGACAAATGTTTCTTAGGCTCTGGGTTGCCTGGATTTCCTAGTATCAGGTTTTCCACCACTGTGACTCATAACAGAGTCAGCAAAACCATTCCCAAGGGGAGCCATGAGTAGGGCCATGAGCAGTGAAGAGGCCTGCTTGGCTTCAGACTGGGGAGAGCCCTATCAGGGGGATCACGGAATGTTGTGGATAAATGAGATGAACGTCAGCTAGAAACCAGCCACCATGAAGCTACAAGAGCCATTATTGATGTGATTGTTCATCTCAGGACTCAGCCACCTGCTGCTCCTCCCCTGCTCCTACCTAGCACTGGCTTCTTTGACGGAAGCCCTCTGGCGAATGACAAACTGTCTCATCTGTAGGCAAGAATGAGGTTGGCTCATTAGTGACATTTTACTGTGACCGCAAGCATGGGTGGGGCAGAGAGGACAGAAAGTGTGGTGGGAAGGAGGGAGGATGAGGACGACTGAGTGCTTGCTCAGTGTCATGCTGAGACGCTTGGCTGGAGGCTGGTGTCTGACTTTTTAGTTTAGTTGAGCCAGGGTCTCCCTATGTAGCTTTGGCTGGCCTGCAGCTATGCAGACTAGGATGACTTCAAACTCTCTCTGCTTCCGAGTGCTGGGATTAAAGCTGTGCTCCACCACATTCATCCAGTTCCTGACTTTAAACACCATGGATGCCGGGCGATGGTGGCGCACGCCTTTAATCCCAGCACTCGGGAGGCAGAGGCAGGCGGATCTCTGTGAGTTCGAGACCAGCCTGGTCTACACAGCTAGTTCCAGGACAGGCTCCAAAGCCACAGAGAAACCCTGTCTCGAAAAACCAAAAAAAAAAAAAAAAAACACCATGTTTTTTTTTTTAATTTTACAAAAAGATATTTTTACTTTTATTGTGTTTTACCTGCATGCAAATCTGTGTATTATGTGTGTGTCTGAAACACCAAGTTTTTTTTTTTTTTTTTTTGGTTTTTCAAGACTGGGTTTTGCTATAGTTTTGGAGCCTGTTCTGGAACTAGCTCTTGTCGACCAGGCTGGCCTCAAATTTATAGAGATCTGCCTGCCTCTGCCTCCCAAATTCTGGGATTAAAGGTGTGCGCCACCACTGCTGGCTGAAACACCAAGTTCTTTTTATTTTTTTAAAAAATATTTATTTATTATGTATACAATATTCTGTCTGTGTGTATGCCTGCAGGCCAGAAGAGGGCACCAGACCCCATTACAGATGCTTGTGAGCCACCATGTGGTTGCTGGGAATTGAACTCAGGACCTTTGGAAGAGCAGGCAGTGCTCTTAACCTCTGAGCCATCTCTCCAGCCCAACACCAAGTTCTTAAAAGATGTCAGGCAGTGGTGACACATGCCTTTAATCCCAGATCGATTAAAAAAAGAAAAGTTCTCTCAAAAAGATTATAGATGGTGCACAACTATAATCTCAGCATGTGGAAGATGAGGTAATGGATCATGAAACCAAAATTAGTTTGAGCTACATAATGAGACCTTGCCCTAGAAAACAAAAAATTCCCTACAAAAACCTAAATGGACTTGGAATCCCATTTCTACTCCTTCTAAGAAGTTCTCATTTGGAAAGACCTCCCAGAGGGAGGTCGAGGACTCACCACTTGCCCACGATCTTGTTGGTATAGCCTGCCTTCTTCAGGAGCTCAGGCAGGAGGAGTTCTGAGTCAGGGATGCCACCCATGATCTCCTGAGGTGTGTAAGCTGGAAAAACAATACTGCATTAGAAGTAATCCCGTGGGGCTGGAGAGATGGCTCAGAGGTTAAGAGCATCGCCTGCTCTTCCAGAGGTCCTGAGTTCAATTCCCAGCAACCACATGGTGGCTCACAATCATCTGTAATGAGGTCTGGTGCCCTCTTCTGGCTTTCAGGCATACATGCAGACAGAATATTGTATACATAATAAATAAATATTTAAAAAAAAAAAGAAGTAATCCCGTGTCTGTAATGGATACACACACTGCCCCATCAAGGTGGACAGGCAGGACTGTGGTCAGGATAGGGACACTTCCCATGATACTCCAAGTACTTTCCAAGTTAGCATGGTGGGGATGGTGTAATGCTGCCCCTTGCTCCCACCTGTCTCACCGCTCCAGTCTGGTTTGCCATTTGACACCATGCTGTTCCCTGTAGGCTATGATCCTGGTTCTTCCCACAGTCCTTTTCTTCAAGGCCACTTGAAATCCTATCTTATCTGGGATAAGGACCTTGTCCTTAGAGAACCTATCCAAGCTCTTGAGCTTGTTTCTAGAGCATTCCCTGCTCTGACCCGAAACCTCATGGTTTTCCTAGTGGAGTAGGAGGGTACCGTGTGGTGCTTGAGGTACCTCAGCCCCAGCTTGGTTTTTACTGGGCCACTTCAGAGAAAAAATCTGTGACATGGGGTCTGTACTGTGGTACTCGGTTCTACCTTAGGCTGCCTTTATTTACTGTTCCAGACCGCAAACCTCTCACACTGAGGCCTAGGACACCAGCTTTCCCTTACCTAGACAGAGGTACCTGCAGGGTTGTGGGTGAGGGGTGGCATACCGTTTCTTGCATGCGCGTTGGATGTATAGAAGCCATTGCGGATGGGCAGCCGTCCCGTGAGCAGGGCTGCCCTGGCTACATGGAAAGATAAAAACAGACATTGTGACACAAATCTAGTAGGCCCCCCAGCCAGCTCTGCAGTGCCTCCCATGTGCACAGCCCCTGGGATGTGTCTGTCATGAGCGCGTCAGGGTGACATTGAACTGTTGTGTTTCAGTCTCCTCTAGCCTCTGGATTGAAGAAGTCAGGCAGTGGGAGATGGCCCAAAGGCCTGATGACGGATGGCAGTTTATATAGCAGGGTCTGCTACTCAGCTCTGTTTGCGTACTCAGTCTCCAGACTCTGGGACAGCCACCAGACTGTGGGCCCCTATGGCCTGCCTCCTATCGACCCCTCACCCCACCCACTGCTTTTACTTAAGGTCAGCACTTCTGTAAGCACCAATGTAATAACAGTGACATTCCTTGGGAAGAGGACATGGCCTCACTACCTCTCCACTACACCCATGTCCTGTGACCAGGAAGTACAGACAGTATTCTGAGGGCAGTGTGGCAGTTCTGGGAGACAGTGACACAGCCCTCACTCTACCTGCAGCCTTCCTGAAGCCTGAGAAAAGGCTGCTCTACCTAGATTAGGGTTAGAGGGGCAGATGTGGAAGACCTGCTGGCTAACTGGTTTCGGGGTGGAGGGCAGCAGCAACTTACATGGTGAGCACAACGGGTTGGCAGAATAGAAGTTTGGGAAAAGCATGCCCTCTATAGCCATCCGGTCCAAATTTGGGGTCTCTCTGGAAGGCTCTCCATTAACACCCAGGTCACCCCAGCCCATCTGCAGGGAAGATCAAAGATATGAGGAGTGAACCCTTCCAACAAAAGGCTCTTTTGTTCCAAGGAAGAGCCATTGAGTTTGCCCAAACCTCGGCAGCTTCTGTGAACTGCTCCAGGGCTTACTAGGAATTTGCGGGCTCTCGCCTCTACATCAGTTTGACCACCACCAGGAATATATCTGCATTTGCCTTCCTCCCCAGCTGAGATCAACCTCTGTATGCTCCTAGAGTCTTGGTATCTAAGAATACACATCTATTTTCAGCATAAAACTGTTATGCAAATTTAGATTTCAAAAGCAAGCGATGAGATTGCTCTGAAAGCTGAGCCTAGAGTTACCGCATGGCCTGGCAGCCTGGCTCAGTGTACCTTACAGAACTGGAAACTCATGCTCCAAGACTACATGAGTGTCCGTAGCAGTCTGATTCCAACCATCAAAGGCTAGGACCAGTCCAAGTGGCCACCAGATGATGGACGAACAAGCTGTAGGTTATAGTGTCTGGGTGGAATTGTATTTTTCCAAATTCATGACCATCTGGAGCTCATGAGTCTGACCTTATTACACTTCCACATTGGAATGTTATTCTAGGAAACCTGAACCCGTGTGTCTAGGCCGTGATCACTCAGATTTGGCTCAGAATAAGCGCTTACTCCCTTTGAGATGTAAACTGTGCTTTGAACCAGCTGTGGAAAGCTCTCATTGGAGGAAGGACAGGCAGTCAGCTCCCAGCTGTGGCTCACCACAGTGGAGGATGGCAAAACAGTTAGACAAGACAAAGGCGAGGACGGACAGGGTGGCAGTGGGAGAGCTAGACCGGGCAGCTTCCAGCCTCCTGCTCCCAGGGCTGGAGGTACGAGCCTGCTTCCCCCAAGGTCAGGTTGTGACAGCACAAGTGGGTGGAATCAACCAGAGGTTTAGGATCTAGAGTTCTCACTTTGGGCTGGCTGGTCTTGAAGGCACGTGTACCTCACACACACCAAGATGACAGATACACAGGGGGATAAGATAACTAATTAGATATTAGCAGGCCTAGAAGTTATTGGGGATGGATCCTTAACAATCAGCTTGCAAAACCAAAGCCTGAAGTTGTGGGAGTAATCACTGGTTTCTAGACTGTGACTAGAGTTATATTTATGACCCCGGGTAGAGTCGTGACATTTAGAGAAGTAGGCATATACAGTTTTTGTCTTTGTGATATAGTGTTGTCTTCTATAAAATTCATGTTTAAGAATTACAATCAATTACAAAAACATGACTAAAATATGTTTTAAGTAAGTTTATGATTCTTGTGTTGGGCCAAATTTATGGCTATACTTGCTACACATGACTGCAGGTTGGACATACCTAGAAGAGCTGGACGTTTCCTTCCTTCCTTCCTTCCTTCCTTCCTTCTTTCCTCCCTCTCTCCCTCTCTCCCTCCCTTCCTCTCTCCTTTCCTCCCTCCTCCTCTCCCTCCCTCCCTCCTTCCCTCCTTTCCTTCCTTTCTTTTCTTTTGAGACAGGGTTTCTCTGTGTAGCCCTGGCTGTTCAGGTACTCACTCTGTTCTCTTAACCTCTGAGCCATCTCTCCAGCCCCTCAGGTACTCTCACTCTGTAGACCAGCCTGGCCTCGAACTCAGAGATCTGCCTGTCTCTGTCTTCTGAGTGCTGGGACTAAAGGTGTGTGCCTCCACTGATGGCAAGGACCAAAGCTTATTTGAACTTGAGTTGTATTTGTCCTTCTCTGTTCCACTCAGCTCCCCATGTTAGAGAAGGTTATGTGGAAAGCCATCCCAGGCACTAGGCCAATGAGCCTGCCCATACTTCCAGCCCATACTTGCCTCCCATGACCATGAGTAGTGTGCTCTGCAATGGTCCTTTCTGGTCATTGTCCAGTCTCATCTTTTGAGTATGCTCTGCGCTACAATGGTCCCTGTAACCATTGCCTACTCTCACCCGTGAGAGCAGCAGTTCATAGGTTTGTAATAAACTCTACCTATCTCCTACTCTATAGTCTATATGTCTCATCTGAATTCTTTCCACAGAGATCCTAAGGGCTGAGGAGTCAAGGAGAATCCAGAGTGAGATTGTGGTGAAACAGGGAGGTGGTATTTCATATGAATCCAGATACCTATACACTGCTTAGGTACAAGAAACCACTCTTCCCAGGGCGAGGATACCCAGATTCCAGTGCCCACTAAAGGCAACATCCCACAATGACCTTCCTGAGGACAGCAGTCCAGCTGCTCATGATATGACCAGAGCAGGACAGGACCATGGTCAATCAGTCCAAAGTCAGTGGCAATCCTTAAAGAATTTAAACTAGAGACAATCTTAGACAATCAGACAGTTATCAAGTCTGGAGCTTGAGCCACATCATTCTAGGTAAGCCAGACAGACATAAGCACATGTTACAGATTCAGACATGATCAGTCTGGCAAAGGCAGCTATGAAGGGCAAAGAAAGGGGTTTGCAGAGGAGAAGGGACTAGTATGGAAGCCCCTGTGCTGCTGAGGCTGTCCTTATCTGCCACCTAGGGGGCACCTCAGAGCCTTTTCCCCTTGTGGCATCCTTGCTTCTTCTGCCACAGGCACCCTGGAATAGGTCAAGTATGAACCCAGGAGGCCTTCCCACCCAGGGTGTCTTTTCCAGAGGTGGGCCCAGCTGTTGCACAGTGCAGCGTATTCTTCTCACCTTATGCTTGGAGTGGGCCAGAGTCAGCAAAAGCCACTGTCCCACTAGGACTGCTGACAACAGGGTAGATGAGCTGGGAGTCGCCTAGGGCTGTCATGAGGCTATCATGGGGCCTCCAGGGGCCAGCTAACAGACAGCGGCCTTATGAAAGCGGAAGCCTGGAACCACCTGCTTTAAGCCAGCGTGACCTAGTTGGTAAAGCCAGGGATCCCCAGTTTTGCTGAAGTTGAGTTCATTTTCATTTGTATGCATCAAAAGTCCCTACATGACAAGAGCCAAGGTTTGCAGAATGTTCTGGGCCAGCCCCAGGGTATTCAGGATGTAGGTGGTGGGGGTTCCTAAGCAACCACCTTCAGGTAAACTGATCTGGTGCTAGTCATATCCATTATTCAAACCCCCCCTCTACTCGTCTGTAGCCATCCAAAGGAAATGCACTCTCAACCTTACATGTAACTCCACGTTTGCTAGTTCCAGATTAGAAAAGTCATTAGGCCACTAGATGCAGGGGCTCATGCTTGCAATCCTAGCACCGGGGAGGCAAAGGCAGGATAATTGCCTTGAGTCTGAGGCCACCTTGGGCTACAGAGTGAGTTTCAGGCCAGCCAAAACTGTATAGCAAGAATATGTCTCAAAAAAACCAAGCAAGCAAGCAAACAAACAAAAAAATAAAAGTGAGTAGGCAGGATGAAGGCTAACAGCACATTTACCTAACTCAGTTATCCAAAGCCTATTATTTCAACACTCTTCAGTAGCCTAATGGAGGGGTAGAAGGACCTCTCGCTCCTCACAGGCTCTCATTTGGAAAGGAGAGAGCAGAAAACTGACAGACAAGTGTCTGAGCAAACCAACCAGTAAACCAACAAATCAAGCCAGTGTGATTTGGCTCTAAAAGGTCCTAATACCGAAAGCCTGCTACCAGCCACCAGAACAGGGGCCAGAGAAGCCGGGCACCCAGAGTGTGAATTAGTCATGGTCCACACAGAATGGGAAGCTGGAAAGAAACAGTCAAGGTTTCCTGCAGTGGATTCTGGGTAGTGGGATTATGGACAGGACTTTTCAGGCATATAATTTTCTTCATAATAAAGAACCACTAACCTAATGATTATCAAATGGGATGGTCACTTTCTTTTTCTACTAAGTCTCTAAAATCCAACTTATTTTACATACATGGCACCCTCTACTCTGGCTGGCACCACTTTGAGAAGTTTAGCGTGGATGAGCACAGGTCTGAAGGCTCTGTGGAGAGGGCTGAGGTAGCCATTAGCCTCTGGGGTGCCCACGACTGGTTTCAAATCAACCTGAACTGGACGTGACTCCGGTTCTAACAATAGCTGACAGGTGCCACTCTGTAGTGTGTCTGGGGTGGAGTGGGAGGCTGGTGGGCTAAGGTTCAGAGGAAGACAGGGTCCCGTCCAGTTTGGACAGTTCTATCTGACCCAGTGCTGACCTCTAGGCTTTCAAGTCAGGGAGGCAGATCAGCCCTGGGGCTGAGTTCACAGACGGCTGAAGGCTGCACACCAGGCCCCTCAGGTACGTTCTTACCTTTCCGCCCTCCCATGCTTGACTTTGGTCAGAATTCCCCAGAGGCCCAGGCTGGAGGTGGGCACGGAAGGCGGGGCACCTTATGAGGGGGAGGGGGACACCAGGCTCTTCCCCCGGGGAGATCAGGGGAGATCCTCCCTGAACACCGACCCCCACTGCGGAAACAGTAAGAGCGAGAAATGACCCCGGGGTCTGGGCCTCCCTCGGATCACCGCTGTGGCCTGTATCTCCCGTGTCCCCCCCGCCGCGCGACCCCACTCACATCGTCCATGAGCAGCAGCACGATGTTGGGGGGCTGTGGAGCACCTGCGGCCAAGAGTCCTATGGCGCTCAGAACCAGCAGCAGCTGCGGGCCTCTGGTGGCTTTGGCATATACCGCCATGGCAACCAAGCTCCTGCAGGGAGACGAGACCCAGTCCCAATTTCGCGGCGTTTCCTTTGGACCACGGGGCGGGCCTTGGGGGCTGAGTGACAGGAGAGGCGGGGCCTAGGCCGCCGGACTGACAAGAAGAGTGGGCTCGGCCAGACAGGAAAGGGCGTTTGGGTCTGGGAGGCCGCTGGGTAGGCAAAGCTGCCAGAGAAGCTGGGACCCCACCAAGTCGAAGCGTGAGAGCCGGACCTGCCAGGCTGAGTGACACGATCAGTGAGGCCTGACGGGAAAAGTGGGACGGAGCGACAGAAGCAGGGGCGCCGCCAGCGTCCTAACAGGAGAGGTGGGCCTCGAGCCTGACAGGAAAGGGTCAGCATCAAGGTCTGAGCTGAAAGGCAGGGCAAAGCCACTGTAGGGAAAGGCGGGGTCTGAGCCGCCGCGCGAGGAGGGAGGGGAAGTGGGCGGGGCCTGACCCCCTCGGGGTCACATGATGCGGCGCACGGCCTGCCAATATGGCGGTGTGCATCGCGGTGATCGCCAAGGAGGTGCGTGTGAAGCGGCGGGCAGCGGGTGGCGGGTGGCGGGCGGCGGGTGGCGGGTGGTGGGGCTCCTTCCTGCTATTCCCTCGTTTCATCTCAGCTCTAGGCTCCCAAGCCTCAGCCAAGCGCTGTGATCAGGATCCCTCCTGCACTCTCTCGCTCCCAGCTGCCCGCCCGCCTCCTGCCGCCACCTTGCAGGCCGCGGCCTCCGGGATTTGAGACCCACCGGGAAGCTTGGCGGCTCTTCCAGCCCTCCACCCTTCGTTCTATGCCTTCTTCTTTTCACGGCCTCAGCTGCCTTCCGCGTCCGGTCTTTCCGCCCCGCCTTTCGGACCGTCCCTTTTGCTGCCCCGCCGTGCTATTTAAATACAAACCAGGCGGGTCGCAAGTTCAGCCTAGAATTCATTGCTTTTCTTTGCCTTAGGTAGTTCCCTTCAAGCCACTCGCAGCCTTCTACTCCAACTGCTGTGAAGGCCTGCAAACCTCTTGATAAGTTTCTCTCTTCCCTTTGTCTTCTCTTCCCAGCTTTCATCTCCCCGCTGGCCAACATATATATTCATTTCCTCTGGAAAGCTGTTTATGAATGCTAAGACAGCACCAGAGGTCCACAAATCCTGCTGGTTCTGAGCGCCCTTCCCTGAGACCTGCCATTAGGGACTGGGCTGCTGTGACGCTGACAGTATGAAAGAGGGAGTTATGCCCCCCATAAGCCCACCAAAATCAGAACTCAATTAAAAATGCAGCTGCGGCTTTGGTAAACTCGCGATGAAGTCCGGAATCTATGCGGAGGTGCCCTGATTTGGACACTCATTCAACTACAGCAGACCAGACGATTTCTGGACATAGTGAACAATGAATGGATGCAGGACCCAGGAGTGAAGCTTTTGACTGTGGGCTTAGGATGGTCAGATGTGTATTGAGCCGAGACCTGAGGGGCTGAGCCACAGACCACTGCCTCTGTGTGGCACATTAAGAAATAGCCACCGTGCCTGGTGTTGGGATGACACTTGAGAGTGTGGTGGTGGTTGAGGCAGAGATGATTCTAGAAAGAGTATGTTGTTAGGCTGTGCTCAAGTTGGCATTCCTGGGCCATCTTATTTCTGCTCACCTTCCTGCCCCTGTGCCTCTTCTGTTGCCACTTCCTCCTCCTTTCCTCCTCCTCCTTTCTGGTACAGATGATTGAGCTGACGCTTGATGCTGCTACTCAAGCGTTCTACGACAGAGCTATGTCCCTAGTCCAATGTCTTTTCTCTTTTCAGTACTGGGAATTGAATGTAGGGCCCTGTGCATATCAGGCAAATGCTGCGCCACCCAGTTATATCTGTCGTCCCCCCTCTGCATATGACATCCAGTCCTCTTTGGTTAGGTCCCTCCCCTGAAGGCAGTGCCTGCCGCAGTGTTGACCGGCTGAGAGCCTGCCTTAGGAGTGCTTTGCCGGTGTCTTCAGAGCTGGAACTCACTCGGCGGATCTCCATCCCTTCTTGCAGAATTACCCTCTGTACATCCGCAGCACTCCCACAGAAGATGAGCTCAAGTTCCACTACATGGTGCACACGTCCCTGGATGTGGTAGATGAGAAGATCTCGGCCATGGGGAAGGCACTGGTGGACCAGAGGGAGCTGTACCTGGGCCTGCTCTACCCAACTGAGGACTTCAAGGTGTATCCGTTGGTGCTCAGCACAGCCCCTGCACTCGCAGGGCGGGATATGGGGGAAACACAAGAAAAGAGTAACTGTAAGGGGTTTCAGCTGGTCAGGCAGGCAGGTGCCCTGAAGCTAACAATGGCCTCTAGCCCTCACTTCCCCCAATTGGAAGAGTCACTGGAAAAGCAAGGCCAAGCTTCCTGGAGGATGAAAGGTGCCATAGCAGGGATCTGGGCTTCTCTATGTTCCTTAGAGGCCACCAACCTTGAATCAAGGGTCATCGTGTCACGACACTGTTGTTAGGCTCAGCACCATGCGGCTGTAAACTCTTGGCCATTCCTTTGGACAAGTTATTAAGACCACAGAATCTAAGAGCATTCCCATGGGGACTAATTGTAGCCTCTCCACACTCTGATGGCAGAAGTTTAGTTTTGCGACTAACATCCCAGGCCCTGATCAGTTCAAAAGGAGCAGAGCTGTCCCCAGTTGAGGTGCACACTTGCATAGTTGCTGTGCAGCCTCCCCAGCCTGGGCACTTCCTGTGATTTAAGGTTGTCAGTCTTCTCCGAAGTGAGGGTTCACCAGGTTCTCTGGGCTGGCAGGCCCCGGACTGCCATATGCAGTCATACAGCCCCGGTGCCAAAGCATGTTCCTTAACAGCCAGGCAGATATGGCTACGTGACCAATTCCAAGGTGAAATTTGTCATGGTGGTGGATTCCTCCAATACAGCCCTTCGAGACAACGAGATCCGCAGTGTAAGTGGTGGTGGTGTGGGGGGGGGGGGGGCAGAGTGGGTGTGTGCTGCTTCCCTTCCCTCACCGAGAATGCAAAGTCTGCAAAAGCCCTATGCATATGCTCATTGAAACTGCTTTCAGATGTTCCGGAAGCTGCATAACTCTTACACAGATGTGATGTGCAACCCCTTCTATAACCCCGGAGACCGCATCCAGTCAAGGTAGGTGGGCCCTGTGTCTCTCGGTGGGCCCTGCTTTGTGATAGCGTGCTCATAGGGAAAGTGAGGGAGCCAGAGCCATGAGTACTATCCTAAGGCCACTGTTTCAAAGCAGCCAGCCCTGGTTTCCCAATTAGTGCCAACACAGACCTTACTGTGCATAGGCAGCTCGGGCCGAGGTTCACCCGTCTGGTCTCCCAGCTGTGTCTGTGGGATCCTGAGGACCTCCAGAGGGCTCAGCAAGCTCACAGCTCATGCAGTGACCATAGCTTTTGTGGAGGCAATGTCCCCCTGATGTAGCCTCGTGTGCCTTTTATGTTGGGCTCAGGTGTCTCCCCTCCAGCTGAGTGGACCTCATGCAGGAGGCATGGGCTTCAAACATAGTTGCTGCAAACCTGTTACCAGATTCTTTTTCTGGGTCTGTTCCTAAGGAGCTCCTTGAAATTGACAAGTGGCCCAAGTTAGTCCCTTCTGGTGGCACCTTCCTTTGACTGAGATGTTGAGAGTCTTGTACCCACCTAGATCCAAGAGAGAGCACACTGGTGCCCCTATGCTGTGCAGGGCAGAGATAGCACTTCCTGCTCATGGGCTTCATTGCTTACCCCTGCTCGCACCCTGTGAACCTTACCCTGGGAGGTATGCTGAGGAAATCTGTGACATAGTCGGCCTGTGGGGGCTGTGCAGGGATTGTGGAGTCAGGAGGTGGGCGCCACTGCCCAGGATGGTGGGTATGCCCTCTGCTTCTCTGAACTCTAAAGAAGCCCCGGAATCCTGAGGACCTTGTGCGGCAGTGCCAGTCTCCACCAGCAGAGGGCAGGGTCATCGCCTGTCCTGCTCTAAATCTGGGTTCTTTTCTCAGGGCCTTTGATAACATGGTAACTTCGATGATGATCCAGGTCTGCTGAGCTGGACCTACGCCCCAGTCGCTCGGAAGAGAAGCCTGTGTTAACCCTGTCTGACGATTATTTATTCCCCTCCCTCTCCCTGACTGTAACCCGCGGGCAGAGCTGTGTGCCTTGTACCTTCCCACTAAAGTCCTCCCATGATGAGATCGGCTCTGTCCTGTATCAGCAGGGAGGGCTCAGCTGAGGACCTGAGAGCTGCTCTGAGACTGTGACCACAGCCAGGTGGCCTGAGGGAGAATCCTGAGTACAGGAGCCTCCGGACTGCCGTTGTCTGTGTAGGTGGGTGGTCCAGACGGGTGCAGGGTATGGGGAGCTCAGAGCCAGCACCAGAGCATGGAGGCAATGCAAGCTAACACCACACACATTCCCTCTTGGGCAAGGGCCCTCAGTGTTCTGGCCCCATCGTTCATTTGGCCTGGCATTTGTGCCCAACCCCGGCCTGAGGAGGTGGTAAAATCTGTAAAGCTTTATGGAACACAGCATTAAAGCAGCTGCCAAGTAAGAAACTCCGGGAGCCTTTCCTGGCCGACAGTGAGCATGGAGGTCCACAGGGACCCCAGTGCTGCTCCTAGGCCACACATCCCCAAGGACAAACCAGGCTCTCCCCATATAAAATCCTGTAGCTGTGCCACTCAACAGTGTGGCTAACGTGTGTCCTGGGAGACAGCAGAGGCCTAGACGACCTGCCCTAGGTCTGAGGCCCCTGCGGATGTTGCCGCTCCACGCTGTTTTCAGAGCCTCTGGCTTTCCGAAGTCATCAGCCAAGGACCTCCCCCTTGCCTGTAGAGTTTCTTATGCTTGGGCCCAGCAGGCTGTGACTTGTCCGTAGGAGCTGGGTGGAATAGAAGAGATGGCCCATCTCCATGTGTATTAGGGCTTTGCTCCAGTGAACACAGGGTCATTAAGAATGCAGTAACTGGGCGGTGGTGGCGCACGCCTTTAATCCCAGCACTCGGGAGGCAGAGGCAGGCGGATCTTTGTGAGTTTGAGACCAGCCTGGGCTACACAGAGAAACCCTGTCTCTAAAAACTAAATAAATAAATGAATGAACAAACAAACAAATAAATAAATATGGAGTAAGAAAAGAAGCCAGACCTTCCAACCAATCGATATAAGCGGCAGATGAAGTTCGACTGAAGTCCAGCAAGCAGCTGAATGACAGGGTCAGAGCCCACATGTGCCTGAGTTAAAGGATTTAGCTGGAGGGTGGGTTTGGCAAGAGAAGGAAAGCCCATCAGTGAGGTGGTATCTTGAGTATTTAAGGGGGGGGCACCCTACCTATTAGCTGCATTGGGGACTGCATCTTGTTCCCCAGTGCCCATCCCATCCCTCCTTAAAGACAGAACCTCAGGTTTACTGGAGAAACTTGGCTAAATGCCATTTGCTACCCTCCCCTTCACACCAGGGCAGGTGGTTAAGGTGTGTGAAGGGGGGTATTGGGAGAGACCTATAGGACAAATCCTTTAAAAGTAGTTTCTGCCAATGTTTAGAGTGCTCAAGACTTTCTGCTTTTTCCTCCCTGGAACTTGAGTGTGATAGTGGGAGCTTAGGCAACGCCCTTGGGAGCATGAAGATAATAAGATGAGGACAGAGCAGAAAGCCTGAGTCTAGGCAAATGGGCTGGCCCTGAACCGTTCATGTCTCCATATGTGAGATAATAAAATACAGCTCTCCTGTTTCAGCTGCTGCTGTTTGGGTTTTCTAACAGGTATAGTCAGATCGTGTGTAAGCGTGCTCTGTGTGTGCACTATGTATAGTCAGATCGTGTGTAAGCATGCTCTGTGTGTGCACTATGTATAGTCAGATCGTGTGTAAGCGTGCTCTGTGTGTGCACTATGTATAGTCAGATTGTGTGTAAGCGTGCTCTGTGTGTGCACTATGTGTATAGTCAGATCGTGTGTAAGCGTGCTCTGTGTGTGCACTATGTATAGTCAGACTGTGTGTAAGTGTGCTATGTGTGCGCACTATGTATAGTCAGATCGTGTGTAAGTGTGCTCTGTGTGCACTATGTGTATAGTCAGATTGTGTGTAAGCGTGCTCTGTGTGTGCACTATGTATAGTCAGACTGTGTGTAAGTGTGCTATGTGTGTGCACTATGTATAGTCAGAGCGTGTGTAAGCGTGCTCTGTGTGTGCACTATGTATAGTCAGATCGTTGTAAGCGTGCTGTGTGTGCACTATGTGTATAGTCAGATCGTGTGTAAGCGTGCTCTGTGTGTGCACTATGTATAGTCAGACTGTGTGTAAGTGTGCTATGTGTGTGCACTATGTATAGTCAGAGCGTGTGTAAGCGTGCTCTGTGTATGCACTATGTGTATAGTCAGATCGTTGTAAGCGTGCTCTGTGTGTGCACTATGTATAGTCAGATCGTGTGTAAGCGTGCTCTGTGTGTGCACTATGTATAGTCAGAGCGTGTGTAAGCGTGCTCTGTGTGTGCACTATGTATAGTCAGATCGTTGTAAGCGTGCTGTGTGTGCACTATGTGTATAGTCAGATCGTGTGTAAGCGTGCTCTGTGTGTGCACTATGTATAGTCAGATCGTGTGTAAGCGTGCTCTGTGTGTGCACTATGTATAGTCAGATCGTTGTAAGCGTGCTCTGTGTGTGCACTATGTATAGTCAGAGCGTGTGTAAGCGTGCTCTGTGTGTGCACTATGTGTATAGTCAGATTGTGTGTAAGCATGCTGTGTGTGTGCACTATGTGTATAGTCAGATCGTGTGTAAGCGTCCTCTGTGTGTGCACTATGTATAGTCAGATCGTTGTAAGCGTGCTCTGTGTGTGCACTATGTATAGTCAGAGCGTGTGTAAGCGTGCTCTGTGTGTGCACTATGTGTATAGTCAGATCGTGTGTAAGCGTGCTCTGTGTGTGCACTATGTATAGTCAGATCGTTGTAAGCGTGCTCTGTGTGTGCACTATGTATAGTCAGAGCATGTGTAAGCGTGCTCTGTGTGTGCACTATGTATAATCAGATCGTGTGTAAGTGTGCTCTGTGTGTGCACTATGTATAGTCAGATCGTTGTAAGCGTGCTCTGTGTGTGCACTATGTATAGTCAGAGCGTGTGTAAGCGTGCTATGTGTGTACACTATGTGTATAGTCAGATCGTGTGCTATGTGTGTGCACTATGTGTATAGTCAGATTATGTGTAAGCGTGCTGTGTGTGTGCACTATGTATAGTCAGATTGTGTGTAAGCGTGCTCTGTGTGTGCACTATGTGTATAGTCAGATCGTGTGCTATGTGTGTGCACTATGTATAGTCACATTGTGTGTAAGCGTGCTGTGTGTGTGCACTATGTATAGTCAGATTGTGTGTAAGCGTGCTCTGTGTGTGCACTATGTGTATAGTCAGATCGTGTGTAAGCGTGCTCTGTGTGTGCACTATGTATAGTCAGAGCGTGTGTAAGCGTGCTCTGTGTGTGCACTATGTGTATAGTCAGATTGTGTGTAAGCGTGCTCTGTGTGTGCACTATGTATAGTCAGATCGTGTGTAAGCGTGCTATGTGTGTGCACTATGTATAGTCAGATCGTGTGTAAGCGTGCTATGTGTGTGCACTATGTGTATAGTCAGATCGTGTGTAAGCGTGCTATGTGTGAGCACTATGTGTATAGTCAGATCGTGTGCTCTGTGTGTGCACTATGTGTCTTCCTTTGGGCCAGGCTGCCCTACACTGGGAGAGGAAGCTATAGCCTGATACTGACCGTGCACACACTTGAAGTTTAGAACAGAGGCTCCACCTCTGCTTCCTGACTTGACCAGATCGTGTGCTATGTGTGTGCACTATGTGTATAGTCAGATTGTGTGTAAGTGTGCAATGTGTGTGCACTATGTATGTACTACAGAGTCTTCTTACTATCAGGCTCTAGCAAACAAAGCTTATGATGTCATCTGCTTGCCTAGATTTGGCCACTGCGGCTTGCAGGTGGGTTTCATCCCGAGGTTGACCTTGGGGACCAAGATGGCAGCTCTGGTTAGCTTGTGACTTACTGGAGGTAGCTTGTGGGGTCATCAGTTGCTTGTCTTCCTTTGGGCCAGGCTGCCCTACACTGGGAGAGGAAGCTATAGCCTGATACTGACCATGCACACACTTGAAGTTTAGAACAGAGGCTCCACCTCTGCTTCCTGACTTGACCAGCTCAGACACCTTCCAGGGCAGAATGGAGGTGAAGTCCAGCTATGTCTAGAGAGCCAGCTTGGGGCAAGGAGACAAAACTATGGGGTGGAATTCTGCTCACTGCCTATTGGCTCTTTTTTTTTAATATTTATTTATTTATTATGTATACAATATTCAGTTTGTGTGTATGCCTGCAGGCCAGAAGAGGGCACCAGATCTCATTACAGATGGTTGTGAGCCACCATGTGGTTGCTGAGAATTGAACTCAGGACCTTTGGAAGAGCAGTCAGTGCTCTTAACCGCTGAGCCATCTCTCCAGCCCCCTGCCTATTGACTCTTAAGGCAGAGCAAGGGCCCGTTTTCTGGACTCATGGTCACATCTCATTACTCCCCAGAGCTCCATGAAGAAAGTAAACCTGCTTCTGAGGGAGGATCAAGAAATGAGACTTGTGCCGGGTAGTGGTGGTGCACACCTTTAATCCCAGCACTGGAGGCAGAGGCAGGCGGATCTCTGTGAGTTCGAGGCCAGCCTGGTCTACAAGAGCTAGTTCCAGGACAGGCCCCAAAGCTACAGAGAAAAAGAAATGAGACTTGTTACATGCTTTTAAAATATTCAAGTTTAATAATTTATACTTTACTATTAATATTCATCTATTTTTCTTTAAAAGTACTTGAGTATGCTAATCCCAATTTCCCCTGGGCTTCCCCTCCCACCCCTGCCCTCTGCATCTCCCTGCCCTGTGCCTTTCCACTGTGACCTGGGGGTCTAGGCCACCTTCAAAGGCACTTGTGGGCTGACGGGCTCAAAGGCCAGTTTGCAGTTAAGTAGAAAGACTGCTGTTTACTCCTGACCCAGCTCCTGGCCCCACTTTCAAAACTGGGCCATCCTTTTAATATGGTGAGAACCATGGTGAGACCCGTCCACGGCCCCTGCAGAGAGGGAGGGGAGACAAAGGCAGCTGAGTTGCTTTCAGAGGGGATAGCCTGGAAGACACCAGGCAAGGGCTAAAGTCACCACCACGCTGCTCAGGGACTGTGGGAGGTACCGTCTCAGGCTCTGCTCTTTTGAGTAGTGGTTCCATTGGAGAAGGGAGGCCTGGGGCTAGAATTTGCCACACTTGGCCGATGGGCTCAGCTACCTTACCAGTACTCAGGCCAGAGGAGCCTGCTGTAGAGCCCACTGTCTATGGCAGGGATGCCTGCCACCAGCAGAGCCCCGGTGACCAGGCAGGAATATCCCTACCGGGTAGGGAGGTTACACAGAACAACCTGGTAGAAACCATGAGGACTACTCAACCCTTTCCCAAGTGCCTGGTCAGTTTAAGGCTTATGTGAGGGGACAACAGGGTCAGGCTCCAGGAATCCTGCCGCTTAGATCTCCAGACTCAAGACTCCCCCTTGGGCTCGCTCACCGGCTGGGTCCATGGAGTCTGAACCGAGGCTTTCGATGCAGGCTACTGTGCAGGAGGGGCTGGGCTCTGCTGCCCGAGTGTGTCCGCAGCCCACCACGATCTGTAGAGCTGATTCCTGGGAAGTTCGTCCTTTTGGGAAGTACCTGGACGGAACCCATGTCATGGTCCAAAACACTGTTCTGAATCCTTGCCAGGGTGGCTGATACCAAGGCTTGGGGTTCCTGACCTAGAGGTACCATTTAAGGGTGAAGCTATCCCTCCACCTTCACTTGGATGCAGCTGTGATCACATGGCATGCCTGGTCATGGACAGCATCCTTCAGCAGAGGAGTCTGGTTCTCCTCCCCAAGCCATCCCTACACCAAGCTCCACCCTGGGTCTGAGGGTTTCCATCATGCCCTAACTCTTGAGCAATGCCCAGCCGGCTAAGATACCCAAAGGGCCGGGCTGGGTACTCATGTATCCTGGGGCAGGTACTCTAACCTCTCTGAGCCTGTTGAAGAATTTGAGTTAATGTGCAAGGCACGGTGGTGGCTCACAGATGCACGGAGACACCTGGGGCAACAAACCTTGATGATCCGACCTCGAAAGGTGCTCTCATCCAGCTCCACGGCAGCCTGCACAGCGCTCTGAGAAGCAAATTCTATATAGGCGTAGCTGGAGAGGGATAGAGGTGGGGAATGGCTGGGCAAGGGGGGAGAGGCACAGCCTCAACCTCACTGCCCAGCCTGCTACAGCCCCACACTGACCCCTTTGGGTGTCCAGAGAACTTGTCGCACAGGATGGTGACCCGGTGAATCTTCCCGCAGTGGCTGAAGTAGGCCTCCAGCTCAGCAGCCGAGCCTCCATAGTCTACCTGCTCTCAGAAGGGGCACCTGCTGTGAGTGCTGGGCTCTCTGTGTACCTCCTGCTGAGGCGGTTATGGCAGAAAGGGGCTGGAGGGACTTCCAAGGTTGGTTGACTCCTGGCTGGGAAGGGGCTGAGGCTTTACCCACTCCTGCCCAGGGTTGATTGCTGAGAGCCAGTCAAGGGCTTCTTGTGTGGACAGCTGGCTGCATCCCAGGTATTGACTCCTGCCAGGTGTGTGGACCAGTGAATCTCATGGAACTCCCAGTGCCAGTGCGTGTTGAGAAACCAGAATTCTTGACCTCAGCTTCAGCTGAATGGTCAAGGACTGGCCACCTCTCGCCTCCATGGTTTTGCCCAGAAGCTGCAGCCCACCCTTTCCTCTGCAGCAACTAGTGTCAGATGTGCCCCTTCTATCTAGTCTTGGAGACCCTTGAGTTTACAGTCCTACAGCTTTCTGCCTCCACCTCCTAGCCAGCCCCATCCAGGGCAGACATTGATGTGTCCGCCCAGCTGAATGCCCTGATTGGAGCCAGGTGCCGAGGGAGGGCTGTGACCTCCTCTATCTGCTACTCACATTGCCCACATAGACAGATCTGTGGTCAGCCTCCACCTTCTCCTTGGAGGTCCCAGGGAAGCAGCAGCCTGTGGAGAGAACACCTCAGGACCAGCAGGAGGACCTTATTGAGGAGCCCATTCCTCATGACCCCAGGGAAGGTCACCCAGGCTTCCAAGGCCACATTGTGGGGTTGCAAAGTCTAGTGCTACAGGGTGCTCCAGAATGTTCCCTCAGTAGTCCTCATATAGAGTCCGTGCTGAGCACTTCTGCATTGGGAGCAGGTGGTCAAGGCCTTGGGAGGACAGCTGTCCTTCCCTCCACCTTCTGGGGACAGGGTCAGCAAGAGTTCCAGGTTCCTACCCATGGTCTCAGGGCTCAGCAGCTGTCTGACCTCAGTCCCCTCTTCCTCTGTGGCCTTTCTCAGTGCATAGGGTGGCTCCGGCAGGGCCGCAGCATGTTCCATGGCCCACAGCTTCAGCCTGATGGCCTCCAATTCCTGCTGGCCAACCCACAGTAAGCTTGGGGTGGGTGACCTGCAGGTCCCTCTAGAATGGAGGGCAGGTGTGGCCAGTCAGCCCCAGGGAAGTCATGGCTACTACAGAATGACCTAGGTCACCCTGTTCTTCCTGTAGCCATAGTCCAGGGCTAGGGGCTTGGGCCCCAGAAGTCCCCGACGCCTCAGCCGCAGAATATCTCCCCCTAGTCAGAGAGCCCCTGTGGTCTGCAGCTTTGGCCCCTCACCCTGTGTCCAGGTCCACACCTGTTTCCCTGCATCATGACAGGGTGCTGTCTGGCTGTACACTGGGGACTTGGGCAGGTTCTCTTGCTCCAGCATGGCCAGCAGGAAGCCTGCATCTTCATCTTCCTCGTCACTCTCGGTTCCACTCCCAGCCCCTGGCCCCAAAGGGGTCTTTTCAGTCCTGCCCCAGGCCCCCCAACCTTGGGCCTCCGGATCGGAGGAGACCTTCTGGAGCCAGGCTTCAGTGGGAGGCGGGAAGAGATCATTGCTCAGGAAGGGCCACATGGGTATGCAGAAAGGGCGAACTGGGCAAACCTTGGCTCTTCAGGCCGCTCGCTTCCACAGCTGCATCTGCCTCGCGGCTCTCCCCTTTTAAGGCCTCCTCCTGACCAGCTGCTTCCACTAAAGCACACAGGAGAGCCTCCCAGCTTAGGCCATGTTGACCAGAGGGGTCAAAGGCTGTAGATCTCCTCTTTGTCTTCTTCACCAGCTGCATCCCCAAAACTTGGAAGAGTAGACGAGTCTAAAGTGGGTAAGACAGGGTGTTACGTCCGCAAGCTTGGCACGCTTGCCCTTGGTGTGTGCAGGATGCCATACCACACACCTCTGACAATTGGTCCTAACCAAAACCAGATCTTGGTCAAGTTACCAAACTGTAGTCATGAAAAGGACTTATTTCAGGGAGAGGTGGCACTGTGGGTGTCTGGATACTTTGGGTGAGTCTGAGCAAGGGCCCCTGGAAGGCTAAGAGCTCAGGTTCATCCAGAGTAGGGTTCCATATTCTCTCCTAACCATGAGTTCCTCAAACTGTCCCCTCCCCATCTCTACGCAGGGCACCATTCGATGGGAGTCGATTTAAGTCAGGCACAATTTAGATGATCCCTTTGGCCACAAGGGAGGCTCAGGCTGAACTGTACGAATTGGGTGAAGGGTACTTGGCAGATGCAGGCAGGTACAGTGGTTTCCAGCCCTGTTCATCTGCTGTTGCCCCTCTGCCCTCACCCTACAGGGCTGTGGCCAGCCTACATCCACTGACTCCTTCCTGGGCCTTCCAGCAGGGGGCGATCTACCAGCACATTGCCGGCTGGTGGCTGGACATGGGCACGGATGCTTCTTGAGTCTGCTCTGTAGAGCCTCATGCTGTCCATGTTATTGTGACTCTGGGGTGTCCACGGGAACCTTCAGGTGATGCCACCTCCTCAGATCCACAGCCGCACTTGTGTCACGCTGCTCCCAGGCAGGTCAATGGTGTCCTTTTTAGAACCTGAGCTGGGATAGGAATTAGGTTTACCGAGCTACACTGAGCTACACTGTATATGTGGAGTTTGGTGGCTGACACCTCCCACATCCTGGGGTGGGCAGAGGGGTTGAGAGGCAGAGTCGGGGGTAGCGGTGGCTGTTGGAGCCCCAGGAAGCTGGGCTTCTGACCTCTACCCTGACTTCTCATTTTGTTCTCCAAAGTGGCTGAAAACACCCTGCCTCATGCGATGGCTCATACCTATACTCAGCACTTGGGCCTCTGAGGCAGGGAAATCACAAGTTCAAGGCCAGCTTAGGCTCCAGAGTGAGGCCCTATCACAAACAGCTCAACAATAATAAAACCTGCTGTGACCTCCATGTCTCATAAGGGAAGGACTGTGTGGGATAGTCACATGACCTGAGATAAAGTAGTCCTGACCAGAGGCTGAGTGTCCACTGGCCTCTCCCCAGTCCTGCTTCTGTTACTTCCCTTGGTCCTTCCTGGCAAACCAAGGCTACTCAGAGGCAGCATCCATGCCTACGCAGAGGACAAGCTGGCCACACAGGACAAGGGCAGGGATACACAAGTGGCCACTGCTGTCCTCCTGCATGTCCCCTACCTCTTCATGTGAAGCTGTTGGGGTCCTGTCTGGGTCTTTCCTGCACTTCCATGTGGGAGGCAGGACATGGCAGACTGTGCCCAAGCCAAGACCGTCTGGATGGAGCCCAGTCCCTGGCCAGTCTCCCTTCTGAGCTCAGTGTCTGCAGTGGAAAAACCTTGTCACCCTCCTCCCCCTCGTGCTATCCTGAGATTGCTGACACACCAGGCCCAGTGGGGCTCCAGCCAGGCGCCTGGCCTAGGGACAGTTCACCCCCATGCTGGCCTTCCCAACAATGCCTTCAAAAATACACCATGTTCCAAGCTGGGACAGTATTAGCGCAGTCGCTTCCTCCAGGCAGCTACCAGTGCAGCCTGAAGCACTATGGCCAGTAGTTGGTTCTAGAGCTTTCGCCAGGACACAGCTGTCACAGGAACAGACTGAGAGTTCAGTCTTTCTGCTGTGCCACTCTTAGGTCCTTGGTGTCCCCTCAGGTCCTGAGTTTTCCGTCAGGTCTTAGGTATCCTTTTAGTGTTCCCTCAGATTCAATGTCTCCCTCAGATCCCCAGTGTCCCTCAAACCTCTAGTGTTTCTCTCAGCCAGGTCCCACTATCTCCCTCATGTGGACAGCTCAAAGAACTTGGCCCCAATAGTGAACCAGTCATATATATACGTATATATATATACGTATATGTATATATACGTATATATATATGTATATACACATACATATGTATATATATATGTCAGGCCCTTGAAACTCTTAGGATCATTTTTGGGGTCCAAGATTTTCCAGAACTCCCTAAGGCCCAGCCTTCCAAGATGGGTCCTATTTGCCAGAATATAGCACATGGAGCTGAAGGTCCCTTCCTTTGTCCATCCCTAGTCTTCTCTGGTACAGCTGAACACCACGTCTGCCCTGGTCTGTACATGAGGTCTTTCAAACATAGTTATCGCGTGTGCGCAACGGTCTGGAGGAGCAGCAAGCCGTCATAGCAAATGCTCACTTTATTACACAGATGTAATTAACCTGATCATCATGTCCATGGCCCACAGGGCAAACATACAGGACAGCAGAAGACAGCGGTGGGTGGTATGACGCGGCACCCCGACACGGAGGGCTGTGGACCACGGCTTTTCGTAAGGAAAACATCCAGTCCTCTCCTCCCAGCTCCTGCAGGAGGAAAAAGAAACGGAACAACAATGGTTCCCCCTGCAGGCTGTGTGCGGCTGTGCTCTGGGCCCAACCCTTGGCCCAGAAATGGTGTGAGCTGAGGGCTGCTGGGCCTTGTCTGGGTGGGAGCAGGGGTTGTTCCTTTGAGGATGTGGTGAGCAGGACGCCCTTTGAGTCAGATGCCACATTCCTGTATCCCCGTTGTCTGGGCTGCTACCTTAAGGGCCAGCTGAGTTGAAAGAAAAGGAATGAAAACAAGATAGAGTTTTCTAGAATTTGGGGACTTGTTCACGTGGTTGACAGACTGTCCCGAGCTTTGTCTGTGAGCTGTCTACAGGAGCCGATAGTTCCTCGGAGCCCAGCTCACCTGAAGTTTCTCTATCTTCTTGCCAACATGATGGTAACTCAAGGGTCTCTCCCCAGGCTCATTCCAGAAACTTCTCTAGCTGACTGTCCTTCTTCTTAAGAGGCAGCTTCTGCCTCTCTCCCTTCTCTCCTTCCCTTTTTTTTCTTTCTCCTCCACCCCACTGGAAAAAAAAGAAACTTCTCTACATGGTAGGGGCTTCAGGAAGAGCAGTGAGCTATGAGGAGAGGCTGTGGACGGCCCCAAGCACCTAACAAATTCCTCCTACCATCGGGGGATCCAGTAGGGGCAGACTGGACAGGTTCAACTCTGAGCTACCTGGGATTCTAACTGAGAAGATGGGACTGGTACCCAAGTGTGCTGATGAACAGGATCCTAGGAGTGCTGGTCTCAAGGGAAGCCAGCATCAGCTCACTCTCCTCTTTAGAGCTCCCTCTTCTGGGCAGACTCCTGGAATCAAGGACTGTCCCTGCTTTTGGGGAATGTGGTTCCCTAACATAGCATCCCAGAGCTCCTAAGCAAGTGTATAGCCCTTCTCTCGGCACACATTCTTGACTCCTCCTCTCCCCAAGCAAGTCCAGATGTGTCACAAGGGTCACAAAAACTTGTCCAATATTTCCACAATGCCTGTGGTTGGAATTCATATATCTGGAGGTGTCTAAAGCAGGCCAGGGTAGGGCAGAGCACCAAGGGACTGTTGCCTCATGGGTGGGTATTCTTAGGGCACCCCTGGTCAGTCCAGGGAAAGTAGAACGGAGGGCGTGGGGGACCTAGTGTCTTTGGTACACTGAGGGAGCTGAAATTACTCTGAGGACAGTGGGTAGAGAGACGATAGGAAGGATGGATCTAGGGACGGCTGTGTGGTGTGTCTGTGAGACACCCAGACACAAGGATGGTATGTTGGGGTGGCATGGGCAGGTGGACGGATGAGAGGCGGTGAGGCAGGTGGGTCAAGGTAGATAATGGTGTAATTACTTGAGAGGGCAGGTGGAGGACGATAAATAGGTGGAGGTGGATGGGTTCACGGAAAGATGGCTGGCTAAGTCAGAAGGGCGAACTCAGGAAAGTGTCAATCTACCAGTGTGGTTAGGCTGAGGAGCAGAGCAACGGATAGACAGATGCCAGAGATGATACTTTGGTGTCAGCCTAAGGATTTATTTGGAAAAACTAAGAACTTTGGAGCCCATCCTGATCCCTGTCCACTGTGGCCTTAAGAGCACTGCCCATGGCCCTGCCTCCTATTCTGTCCTTCTCCATCACCAGTGACCTTTTCAGGTCTGCTTACAGGTGTCCCTGCTGGGGCTGGCTCTTCTCACCTTGGCACCCATCAGGCAATAGGACCTAGGCTTGGTATAATCCAGCCTGCTCCTATACACTTGTGACCATATGCAGAATGAGAGCCATTGGCCTCTGTTCCCAATCAGGTCTGAGGATTGAGCTGGAAAGGCGCCCTTAGCCAGCAGACTGGAGAAAGGCCAGTCTGAGTCTGGGGCAGAGATGGGCAAGGAGATGAGAGGAGGGGTGGCAGAGGTAGAAGGACACATGGAAAGAAGTCATAAGGTCATGGGACAGGATCTGGGCTGGGCCTTAGGGGTCAGAGAGTTCTGCCTGCCACCTGCCCTCCCCACTCAGCCTTCCTGGTTTAGCTTTGGCCTCAGAACAGGAAGCAAAGTTGCATTTTGATTTGGGGTTTTGGGGAGCAAGGCTCTGTGAGACCCACATCCTGTAGGGGTTTGGTTCATGTTTGTCTGTGGCTACCAGGAGGCAGGACGTGGCGGTTGCTCTTGGGTCCATGGTTTGTGAGCTGGAGAAGGTAGCAGGAGGGGCTCTCAGCAGAAGTCAGGGATGGGGTATCACCCTCCTCCAGCTCTGCGTAGAGCCCCAGGCAGACTGGAGGTTGAAACCAAGAGCATGCCATGGTTATGGCCACCCAGGGTACACCTCCCAACAAAGAATACCCATGGACCCCATCCTTCCCAAAGCTCTGAGGTTGTCTGGTTCTGCTGTGAGGTCTTTCGGTGGCTGAAGCTGAACACAGCACCTGCAGCTTTTTCAGGGCCCCCACCCCACCCCTCTTGCCTCAAGTGACACTGCTGACGTCCACCCAGAATTCCCTGCGGCTGTTTCCAGTCCTGTTTCCTCACTTACCCCTTCCTACCCCCACCTTAACTGCCACCCTGATTCTGCAGTTGCCTTGACGGCTGAGCTCTTCCTATCAGCTGGCCAGCACCTCACCATGGGTGTCCACAGTTGCCGGCCAAATGTCATGCACAAGGGACTCACTGTGGTCGAATGGCATCTGATACCTGTCTTGGGGTGGCTATCCCTTCCAATAGCTAGGGTGTAGGGGGGGGGACTGTGCTGAACCCTAAATATGTAACCTGGTTCGTGGAGGCCAATTTGGCTGGGCAGCATTTTGTTGTCCCTGGTGGGCCTTCTTGTTCCGAAAAGGTAGATAAGGGTGGTAATAGGTAGCGGAGGAAGTATGTGAAGCGAAAGCAAATTGGCAGGCCTTCAGGTAAGGGAACCCTCTGGGACCTACATATATGGGAACAGACACTCTCAAGTCCTGACACCAGGGACATGGGTCATCAGGGAAGCCACCCTAGGACTCCTGGCCCAGACCTCTAGAGACTCCAGCTCTTAAGCACAACCTGAGGGCCTAGCTTTATTTTCCCCCACAAACACGGGCTCACCACCCCTGCCACCCAGAGCTTTTTCCCTATGAATGGCCACCAGCCTGCTCTCCTGCAAGGGCCAAGGACGCTGCATGCTGTGGGGTAACAGAGACAAGCAGCCCTGCATGAGGCGCAGCTGGGAATGGAATCCAGCGATGCTTCCTTCGATGGCAGGTGGGTCTCTGCCAGCACAGACTCAGTGTTCACAGGCAGACGCTCAGGTCAACTGGTCCACTAGAAGGAAGGGCAGAAGGCCGCCATGTGTTCTGGCTTCTCTGAAACCCACAAAAAGACATCTCTATGGGCCTGGAGGGCTGTGGCCTTAGGAACCTTCCAGAGGATGAGCTTTACCTTGGCCTTCGGAGTGAGAGCTGCTGTCAGGCTCCATTCGGGGTAGCACCAGGTTGATGGTACCTAACAGGATCCTTCCATGCAATGTTCTCTTAAAGAGTGACTTTTACAGTTGTGAAGAAAGACCAGCCACCAAACAAGCCCACAGGACCACAGCTCAGATTCCTTCCAAAGTGTTTCCTAAATTTCACATACTTCCGTGGTTTGTCTTAATTTCTTTTTATTTGGCAAACGTCTCCTCGGTACTGATGCCGCGGTTAGGACCTCTGTGGAGACTATTTACATTCACATTAACACATGCTGCACACCTTGCTCTGGGCAGGGCCCCCAGGCCCAGGGTTCAGGAGCAATTCCCCCATATTGCACGCTAGGCCTGCAGCTTACTGCAGCCACACACATAGGTGCAGACCCGGACTGTGTCTGCTGTCTTTCTGTTTGGTACAGGCATGAGCTTCCTTTCTTCATTTCCTCCTTGAATCCTGGAGGGAAGTTGAGCGGGTGGAGGGCAGGGCAGGGCGGGCGAGGGCTGGAGCACAGGGGGGGCATCACTCCCGGGGCTGGAGATGAACACGGGGGTTGGAACACAGGGATATGTACAGCTGGGCTTGAGTCTTCCAGGCGAGGTGAGGGTGGCTGCTGGCTTTTGTGTTTTGTTTTGTTGTTGTTTTTTTTTTCTTTTCTTTTTTTTTTTTTCTGTAAAAGTCTGAAAGAAACGACGGTAGCCACAGCAAGACACTGGGGATGGGGAAATAAGACTGAGGTGTAGGTGGGGGTGGGGTGGGGATGGGAGGGCAGAGAGGTAGAGGAGGGAAAACCAAGAAAGCGTGATTCGCTGTCACCTTATGCTTTCAAAAGCAGTCAAGAATCAAACCAAAAGATTGTCACAGTTTCGTTTAGGAATTGTGCTCTCTCTGGGAAGAACACTAGCACTTTTTTTTTCCACAAGTGGAAAATGAACTATGCGAAGTCACAGAAGGTGTGAGGACAGATGGAGGTGTCTCCCTTGCGTACAGGGACGCACAGACAGGGCCTGAGGGCACACAACGTTCAGGCTCATGCTGACTGGGGCTTCTAGATATGGTGCTGAGGGTCATGTGGCCTTGCTGCTGACCCCTTTGCCCAGCAAGGATGCTGCCCACTAGTCAAAAAGGAACAAAACGTTTCTTCTTGGCCCAAGCCATCAAATCCCAGAGACCCAACACCCCCGACAAAATCAAAGCCTAAACAAAAGACCGGCATCCAAACAACCCAGGAATGGAAGACAATGAAAAATACTTTGGCAGTGATAAAAATAAATTTTTGATTTTGATTTCTTGAGTTTGCTTTTTGGATTTCCTTTGGAGCGAGGTGTGTCTGGCATCCTTGGCTGGCTAGCTGGCAAGGTAGTTTACAGGTATGTTTCCTTTGCTTAAAAAAAAAACTTTTTGGGTTTTTTTTTTTTTTCACTTAAAGCCAAAGAGTTTGACATTAAAGAAAAGAAATAAAACCTGAAACCAAAAAATGCTTCTTGAGTTGGAAATTGAAATTGTTCTCACCGTCTCTGCTGCACGCGCCGATCCCCCTGGGGTTGGCTGGGTGAGGCAGCAACTCCAGCTAGAAAAAAAATCACAGTTTCTTCCTTTTCTAATAAGGAATGGGGAGAACCCCACAGTTCTTTGTCCATTTTTAAGTAGCTTGTTTGCCAACAAAACAAAACAAAATCTCCAAAAGTTCTTCACTGAAAATAAAGCCACCGATTAGGTTTCTCTGATTACAGAGAAAGTACGCGGGCTTTTACACAGACAGAGAGGATCAGATCCAGGGAGAGTCAGGGCAGGGAAACAGAGGGAGACCAGACACAGAAAGACAGACAATAACAGAGAGACAGACACAGAGGGGACAGACGGTGGCAGAGCCGGCCACGCTCCACCGGTGCCACTGTCTGCAGCTCCGCAGTGGTATCTGAGGATGCTTGTGAAGAGAGGCTGTAGGAGGTCCCGGCAAGACCTCATCAGGTAGCTGAGGCTGCACGGATGCAGTTTCGTTGGATCTGTGTTTTCTTTTGGAGAGAAGCAGTAGCAGCAGTGACTCCACCTGGCCAGCTCCAGGCATCTGGTGGGCCAAGGTGGGGCCAGGAGGTTGGCAGGGCATGGCGTCCATGGGCTGGGCGTCCGATCTGGAGGTCAGCGGGGCACGGCAGCGTCCAGTGGGCCTGGTGGGCCCGGAGAGCAGGGGCGAGAGGGCCCTGCTGAGCCGGCTTCGCTAGGGCTGGCGGTGGCATCGGGCTGTCCGGGCAGTGGGTCAGCCACTGCAGCTGCGGGGCCCTGCAGACTCTGGCCGCATACATGATGGTGCTTCTCCCAGTCCTTGTGCTGACAGAAGGACCCGCAGTAGCGGGCTGCATTACAGCCGCTGCAGGTCTCGCTGGCCTTGCGCCCGCAGTTCCAGCAGCTCTGGATGTAGAGGAGGGCAAAGGAGATGAGTCAGGATGGAATAGGCTGCACATGATAACCTGCCCACTGCTGAAAAGGTGTGCGTGTGCTTGTGTGCGCGCTTGCGTGTGTGTGTGTGTGTGTGTGTGTGTGTGTGCGTGTGCGTGTGTGTGTGTGTGGTGCAGGGGAGAGCCATGCAACCACTCCCAGCTGCTAAAACCCAGTTAGGGTTTCACCCAGGAAGAAGAAAGAACTCTAGACACCTTGGAGGCAGCTGAGTTGTCAAGCACTCACCGGGCCCTTTCAGGAGAGAAGAGGTGGCCACTGACCAGGACTCCCTTTGCTGACTGTATTTCCCTCAGGGGATGGCTAGAGATCCCGGCAAGGCGGCTGAGACTGGGAGGCTGCCTTGGCTTCAGGAATCAAAGCCTACTTCTCATCTCTATGCTCTGGCCTCACCCCTGCCTGCTGCACCCCTTGTGCTGCTCCACCTGGGAGGGCCTTGCTGGCCTCTCCGTCAGGATGGCTCTGATATTGGATGACTCTTTTCTCTCTTTCCCCGGGGGCCATGCTGCTCTGAGGTCTACGGATGTACTTTCCAAACTACCCTCACCTCCAAATACCTAACACTCTGGTCGACGCTTTGCCCATCTCCTGACAGCTCTGAGATCCTGTGCGTGTGCACATGTGTGCGTAAGCACATGAGTGTATGGGTACGTATGTATGCGTGTGCATGTGGAGGCCTCAGGACAATCTGGTGTTATTCCTGAATACTGTCCACATTATTTTAAGACAGGGTCTCTCAATAGCTAAGAACAGTGGTTCTCAACCTGTGGGTCTTGACCCCTTTGGGAGTTCAGTGATCCTTTCACAGGAGTTGCCTAAGATCACTGGAAAACACAGATATTTACATTATAATTCTTTTTTTTTAAAATATTTATTTATTTATTTATTTATTATGTATACAATATTCTATCTGTGTGTATCCCTGCAGGCCAGGAGAGGGCACCAGACCTCATTACAGATGGTTGTGAGCCACCATGTGGTTGCCGGGAATTGAACTCAGGACCTTTGGAAGAGCAGGCAGTGCTCTTAACCGCTGAGCCATCTCTCCAGCCCCCTACATTATAATTCTTAACAGTAGCAAAATTGCAATTATGAAGTAGCAACAAAAATAATTTTATGGTTGGGAGTCACAACATCAGTATGAAAGGGTCACCGCATCAGGAGGGTGGAAAACCACTGGTTTAAAGCTTACCAGTCAAGGCTAACATGGTGGACCTGTGAGCCCCAGGATCTACTTGGCTTTGTCTCTCTAGTGTTGGAGAGCTGGCTATTCCTAAAAGGCAGCCCACGAATGACTTTCCCAGAAGGGCTGTTCCTTTCCTCCTGATGCCCTGCCAACCAAACTCTTGGAGCAGAGGAAGCAGGTTCAGGAAGTCCTCCCTCACCCACCCTGCTGGATGGAGCACAGTACCCAGACATCCAGGCACACAAGATCATAGCTCTCATGGCTCTCTCCTTCCTGTTCATTATGCCCAAAGCTGAGGGAGACCCCAGGGTCCTGAAAAGTCTCCTTTATAAGTTAAAGAACAGAGGGTTTGACATCAATAGCCTTCGATGGAATATGGTCCCTAACGTGTGCCAGGCCTGGGACAAGCATTACTCTCTGGATCTTCAATTACTGCTACTTACTGGTTAGGAAGGCCTGAGAAATGCCTTACCAGGCCTCGTGGGTCTCTTTTATTTATTGACATGCAGTGCTGAACAGACTGCGTGCTTGCTTATGCTACCACTGATAGTTATGACCTCTGACAGCAGAGAGCTCATTGGTCTAGAGGCTGCACAGGTGTGGTGTTCTAACGCAGGTTTGGTCAGCACTGGAGGCAGAAATGGAGCACAGAGGTGGCTAGAAGCCCTACCTCGCTGGAGTCCTCTTGCTGGTTGATGACAGTCAGGGCATCCTCTGAGGCCTGCCGCTTGGCCTCAGCCAGGGCTCGTTCCATCTTGGCACGCTCTGTGGTGATGAGTTCATGGGCTTTGCGCTCTGCATCAGACACAGCCTTCTGTAGTTCTGACATCGCCTGGCGCTTCACCTCGTTCACGGCTTCTTCTGTGAAGCACAGAGGTGGGATGGTGGTCACACTGCCAGTAGTCACCCAGGCTAGCTTGCCTGAGCTTCTGGACACGCACCACTTGGGTAGGAGCCTAAATGCAGCTGTGTGTGCACATGCTTACCTTACTTTGCATGTGTTCACACAGAGGCACAAGTCAGTGATCCCAAAGCTTTGCTGCCAGGTTTGTGGATGAAGCATTTATCTAATTATTCTTTATCAATTAAAAACTCTGGAGTCAGATATCAGAGTCAAAACCTGATTGATCAGAGGAGTGGCGAAGAAGTGACCAGTGAGGGCTGGAGAGATGGCTCAGAGGTTAAGAGCACTGACTGCTCTTCCAGAGGTCCTGAGTTCAATTCCCAGCAACTACATGGTGGCTCACAGCCATCTGTAATGAGATCTGGTGCTGTCTTCTGGTCAGCAGGCATACATGGAGGCAGAACACTGTATACATAATTAATAAATAAGTCTTTAAAAAATAACCAGTTTCCTTTCTTGATCCAAAAGGCCCAGACTCTCCCTAAGCCCCTCTCTACTACTTCCTCTGTCTCTTTATATATCCTGGGTCCTCCAAAACCTCTATGGCTAATTTTGGTCGTCTAGTAGCTAGCTCTGCCCTCTGATTGGAGGGAAACTTTATTGGCAGTCTCAGGACTGTCAGAGCGTGGTTAAAATGTCCCATAGCATGTGGATAAAGATGTGTGAGTCCTGGGCACATGTGTGAACCCTGGTCAAGAGGAATAGGGCCATGGGTAAACTATCCGTGGCTCCACCTGCCAGCATCATGCTCCTCACTCTGGTGTGCATCTTCAGAGGGTGAGGGCTAGTCCCCACCCCACAGTATGACCCAGCATCTTCAGAGGGTGAGGGCTAGTCCCCACCCCACAGTGCCCCCCCCAGTATGACCCAGCATCTTCAGAGGGTGAGGGCTAGTCCCCACCCCACAGTATGATCTAGCATCTTCAGAGGGTAAGGGCTAGTCCCCACCCCACAGTGTCCCCACCCCACAGTATAACCCAGCATCTTCAGAGAGTAAGGGCTAGTCCCCACCCCACAGTATGATCCAGCATCTTCAGAGGGTAAGGGCTAGTCCCCACCCCACAGTGTCCCCACCCCACAGTATGACCCAGCATCTTCAGAGGGTAAGGGCTAGTCCCCACCCCACAGTGTCCTCACCCCACAGTATGGCCCAGCATCTTCAGAGGGTGAGGGCTAGTCCCCACCCCACAGTATGACCCAAAATCTTCAGAGGGTAAGGGCTAGTCCCCACCCCACAGTATGATCCAGCAGGTTCCAGTAGTGCTCAAGATTCTGTTCTAACAGGCTTCAGGCAAGCCACTGCTGAGAAAAACCTGCCTTGAGGACACCAGGTCTGGTCCTTGGCTTTGCTTGGGAGCCAGAAGGGGAACTCTGGCAACTCTGGCTGTAAGTAACTGATTCATATCCTGCCTCTCTCTCTCTCTCTCTCTCTCTCTCTCTCTCTCTCTCTCTCCCTCCCTCCCTCCCTGTGTGTGTGTACATGCATTCTGTGCACACCTCTGTGTGTGTCCCAACGTGTAAATACACAAACTTGCTGCATGAGGAGCCCATCTGAGTTGCAGACACTTCCTATGGTTGTCCCCAGGGTTTGTCCCAATAGCCTTACTCACCAGCCTTCCTCCAGATCTCCTCCGGCATATAGCCAGAGAGGGTCCTGGGCATGAAATCTCGGTGAACATCTGAAACAAAGGGATGGGGTACAGTGTCATACACAAGGTGGGGTCATCAGCTGCCTTCTTCCACTCTGGGTTCCCTTCCACTCTTGCCAGGGCTTGAAGGTAAGGAATAATTTTTTCCCCCCAGGAAAGAGGGCTTCACATTCCAGGGGGATGGGGGGATTGGGTAGCATGCTCTATAGCCAGTGAACATGGACTCAGGCTGGGAACTGGGCATATCCTAGACCTCCCCTAGTCTCTGTGGTCACTACTGTGGTGGATGAGTACATAGAAGTCCCTAAGTGCCACCGCCTAAGCTTGGCTTGTACCTACTAGGACCTGGGAGCTTCAGACTTCCTAGCAGACCGGGCACATATTTCTGCAAGTGAAAACGCCCCCCCCCCTTTCCAAGTGATGCTCTGTTTAAGTAAGGCCTGACCATTGGCTAGCTTTCTGGGAAATCAGTGGCATCCTACTGAGACTGTGTAGGGCTAGCAACCCCTCACTGCAGGTCTTCCTTGTTCTTCCCTAGTACACACCTAGCTGAGACCCCTCGGGGCCACTGCAGCTGTTGAGGGGCCGGGCAGAGGTGGGGGTGGGGCCCTTCTTCCCTTCCTCAGAGTCGCTGTAGCACCGGATCCAGTGATTGAGTTCTTCGCGGTCAGCCTCCTGGCACCGGCGCAGCACAGTGAGGGATCGCCGTGTCTTCTCCACCATATCCATGATACAGTTCAGGAGCTGCGGGTGGGTGGCAGGGCCTTCAGTACATTGGAACCAGCACTGTGGCCAGATGTGGCCATCCAACATGGAGGGGGTGGTGGGGAGCCAGCTCATCATTCCTGAAGGCAGGGCACAGAAATCTACCTTGGCTCCTCACAGATAGTGAAATGGCTCCCAGGGCTTATGGGCACCCAATTTGAATAGGAACTTCAAGGCAGGATGGAGGCTCAGGGTGCCTCCTGTGAAACTCTGAGAGCAATCTGTCTTGGGAACATCCCCAAGAAAGAAGTAGGTAAGGGATCCATACTTCAAGGTGCATGATGGTCAGAGGAGCAGAGCTTCTAGGAACATCAAGATATGGTCCACTTGACCTGACCAGGGGATCAAGCACCTAACACGGAGCTGTCCTACACCACTGGGGCTCTATCCTGCATGAGTCTCTGAGCAGGAAACAGTGGAGGAGGAAGGGTCTGTCTGCATGGTTCAGCATCCTTGTCTCTGTTTTCTCATAGCACCCTGACAGGTCAAACATAGACAATGATGCTCACATAAAGGGACAGGCAGACAGCAGGTTCTCAGTTCTCAGATAGGTCCTGCCAGGAGATGCTGAACCCAGTGCTGCTCCCCACCCCAAGCCTTGGGATCCAGAGGTGTGCAGACATTCTGGCAATCACAGATACTCACACTGTTGAGGTGTTTCCACTCTTCTGCCCACTCCCGTTCTGTGAGCCTGTGGTCAATCACTTCTTCTTGTCGAGACCCAGGCATGGCTGCAGGAAGGGCAATGCACATTTAGGCCCCCAGGCAGATGCTATGCCCCGATTTGGATCTTGGGTCCTGCACCTACTCCCAGGTGCCTCCTACTTCCTCAGTTCCAATCCTACCTCAGGGGGTCAGGAACAGATGAAACACTTGCCATCCCTGGTTCTGCCCTGACCCTTCATTTCCTTCCTACTAGCCCACAAATCCAGCTCCTCTTGCTTTTACTATGCCCATTTCTGATAGGTAGATCCAGATCCACTTTAAGGGTCTGCCTTGTCATGGTCCAGAAACCTCAGGGCCTCTGTGCAGCTGCTCAACTTATGTGTGTTTATGACTTCCTCTCAAATATCGGTACTCCTATGCATTCCTCAAAGTCCAGGTCACGGGGCCCCTCTACAGCTGCGGAGTCTTTGGAATTCCTCAGGCCACATGTGTCTCTGGTCTCTGGGTACAAGACTTCCCTGTTTATTCTTCCCCGCCACTGTCAAATCCACAGAGAAAGATGGCGTGATGTGTTTACCTCTGTGTCCCCAGGCTGAACTCTGCCTTGGGTATTTACCAGCCCTGAGTGTGGTCTTGGGATCAGATCTACTGACAGCAGGGTCAGACAAAGAAGCAAGTCAGGACGGCTCATTCTCCAGGATCCCGGGATCCTAGGGTCCTTATCGTGCCACTCCCTGCCTCAATTTCCTGATCCTGCCTAGTTCTCCCCCCCCCCCCCCCCCCCGAGACAGGGTTTCTCTTTTTAACAGTTCTAGCTGTTCTGGAACTACCTCTTGTAGACCAGGGCTGGCTTCAGACTCACAGAGATCCACCTGTCTCTGTCTCCCAAGTACTGGGATTAAAGGTGTACAGCACCACTGCCTGGCTTCTGCGTGTTCTTAACACAGTGAGTAGTTAGAAAGAAGATCCCAAGCTGACCTGGTAAGCTTGAGGAGTGTCCCCAGGCAGGGCTTGGTGCTAAGCACCGTTCCCTTCTTTCTGCCTTGACCTTGGAAGGAAGGTTCATCTTTCCTATGTAACAGATCAGGAAACTGAGGCTGCTTATGTCTGTCCACAGTTACCAGGCAGAAAGTGGGGGAGGCAGTATATGGCGTGAGGCCAGCCTGAATCTGTGCCCTCGGGGACGGTCAAATGGGCAGGGTGTGGGTTGCCACTGCCTGGGACATGAGGGACATGAAGGCCCTCTATTAGTTCTTCTGCAGTGTCAAAGCTGCCAGTGTGGTAACTGAGGCTGTGCAGGTGACCTGGTGCCAATCCAGCCTTCCTGGGGGTGGGGGCAAAGCCTCTCTTTAAAGCCGCCACCAGTGCCTACGGACCTCTTAGTACCTAACCTGAAATGCCTTCCTCGAGTTGCAGAAGGGCAGGGAGTGGCCACAGCCGTCATCCAGCGCCCTCTCCGGCTGCCCACGAGGGGCCTATGCCAACGCCCCAACTAAAATAGAGGCTGAGATCTGTGCGACAGCTGGCGTTTATTTTTGCATTAGCAGAAGCGGGTGGGAATTAGCACCTGCCTGACCCGGCTGTGGCGAGCCAGACACTGTCACCTGCTGCCTAGGCCCAGGCCCTGGAAGCTTCCACAGTGTGTATGTGGGGGGGGGGGGTAGTTAGGGAGAGGCCTCTGCTGACCCTGCTCTGGGACCCTATAGGTGTCCTGAGTGACCCTGGCTAGTCATTTGTAGCATTCCTTTCCAACACACAGGGGTGGAGAAGGGTTGGGGTTAGGCAGGTGTTGCTGTGACCATCCGTGGCTGTCCCACTTATATTCTCTGAGCCTCAGTTTCCCTAGAGGTATGGGTCCAGGCTGAGACATGACCAAGTGCATGTGCTCTGTGTCAGCTGTTGTCCCTGTCGCCAGTAACTGGGCTTTGGAGTTCACTGTGTGCCAGGTGCTCTATCAATGTCCCTGTCCTCACACAACTGTTCTGAGAAACTGAGGCACAGAGCTATCACATGACCCACTTCTGGATTCAAGCAAAGTCTAGTAGCCCTTGCCTTGCCCCCAGCTACTCTGGCCTTAGGCTGCCCAGCCCAGGAGGGTGGAAAAGGCTGGTCCTTTAAAAGATAGGGTCCTTTAAAAGATAGTGCTATTCTGTGTGCAAGAAAGGGCAACTTGGGTCTGAAGGGGCAAGTCAGGCTACCTGGGTACCGGGGAGGCTACTGGCTCCTGGGCAGATGAGCTGCTGCTTACAGCATCAGTGTCTTCCACTAGGGCATAGGTACAAGCAGCCGCTGACTGAACCCCTAAATAAATGCATGTAAACTCTCTCCAGCCCAAGTACATGCAGGCTTATACACGTGGGCCGGCTCGCAGACATGGGATCACACACTCTATGTGCCCATACCTTGAAGGGTCGATGGTAACTCTCACACTGCTTACCGAGGGGCCGATGACGCTCCCGCAGCTCTCGGGGATCTGGATGTCGGTAGGAGTCCCGGAAGTGGTGGGCCATGGCCATGTCCTCCAGGCGATAGTGTGGGGGTGGGGGTGGTGTAGGGTGGGGCAACCCATTGCTGGGACTGCAGCGCTGGGCAGGGCTCAGGGTACAGGACCGCTTACTGAGGTGGTCGGGGTGCAGAGGGTCCCGGTCTGACCCATTCTCTTTGGTCCTGATCAAGAAAACAGGTGGCCAATCGATACCAGCCCCAGTGGACAGAGGACAGAGGGTAATAACAGAGGCAAGACAAGACAGAGAGGGTGGAGGCAGAAACTCAGAGGAGCCCTACTGGGTTCTGGTCCCCCTCTCAGACTTCCTCTGGGTCTCCTGATAGAGAATGGAGAGGAGACACACAGAGTCCCATGGCTAGGTGTGGTCCCCACTGTGATACAGCAGTAGGGGTCTAGTGGCCAGTCAAGGGGTCCAGTCCAGCCCAGACACCATGGGCTGTAGACTCCAGACCACTTAGGGTCTACAAATAGCACAAGAAAAATGAATCCTGGGGGACAGACCCCTTTCTAAGCTGCTGTCCTCCAGGGATCCCAGAGACCCTGGGTCGTCGCTCAATAGGGCTGCGCATGCTGCAGAACCCAGTGTCACCAGCCCACCAGCCTGTCCCCGTAGCATGCAGCAGTATTAGCAGCCCTTGATCGGCCGGCCCTGCTGCAGAGAACAGACTGGACCAGCTGTCTGGCAGAATCGCGGCAGAGGCAGATGGGCAGGAAGAGGCCGCCGTGGGTCACCTCCCTGTCCCGCCGATCTGGGAAAGGCTGTTACCTGTCTGGTGTTCTCCTCTTGCCGTTCTCGTTGACTTCCAGCAGGAGCTCGGGAGAGTCAACAGGGGAGGTGGCGCTGGCATCCAGCAGCAGTTGTTCGTGCTGGGCCAGGTACTGGGCAGGCGTCTGTTTGGCCAGGCGGGCACAGTGCAGGAGTTCTCGCTGCAGCAGCGGGAGATTAGCCTGGGGGCAGGACAGGGGCTTTAGACACAGCTGACTGTCAGCTGGCATGCAAGCCCACCTAACCTGTTTGGACTAGAAGGCAGCCCAGAGCTACCTCTGTGTGACTCAGGGCTCTGGGTCCCCCAGGTTCCTTGCTCCTTCCCATAGCACTGTGGGAAGTGACAGGCCTGTGCCCTGCTGGACACACAGCAATGTAAGGACTTTCTGTATCACCATGCTTCCTCTCTGAGTCTGAAGACAATATTCTCTACCTGTGCCTTGTCAAGCAGGCACCATGTTGTTTTTGGCGCAGAGAAGGAAAGCAAAGTTCAAGCAACCAAGCAGAGAGAGTGTGTGTGTGTAGGGGGAACAGAGATGCAGCAGGGTCTCTGATCTGAACCCCAAAATGCACAGGCCAGGAGCCCAGTCTCCCGCTTTCCAGTCTCAGCCAAGAACAAAACTCACAGGAGGACCTCAGACACCAGAGTATGCCTTCTGTGGTCATGCAGCTCTGAGCACACAGGGAATATGACCTTCATGAACCCCAGCCTCAGGGATGATGTCACAACTCGATTCTGCATTTGCAGATGAGGCCACCAGAGCTCCCAGACCCCATCTCTAAACCTATGAACTTCACCCTAGTGCTAGACCAGGGTCTCCAGGCACTGCTGGTGGTCAGCCTTTCCACAGCTGCAGTGGGTAGGGTGGCAGGCTGGCCCCGAGCATGCTGGACAGGGGCCCAGTGGCAAGCTCTTGGGAGAGCCAGCAGTTCTAAGTATTTGTAAATAAACACAATCCACAACTTTCCCATGCGTCTCAAAGCTGCCAGGGCAGTCTTCTCCAAGCCTCTGCCTCTTCAGCCCCTGTTGGTGCATCCACCCGGCCCATCAGGCAGCCGATGCATTTTTGTTGAGCTGTGTGGCTGCCAAGCCTGTTTTTCTGTTTGGATAGCTGAACGGAGGCCAGCTCACCATCTGCCGACCACGTCAGAAGCATGAGCTGGGATGAGGTCCTGGGAGGTCTCAGTAGCCCAGAGTCTCCTCCCTCACCAGTCCCCCACCCACCCTGTCCTTTCTTTGGCCAGCATGGTGGGGTGGGGGCTGGGCATGAGCACCATCTGGTTGCAGTTAGGGTGGGGAAACATCTGGGGTCCTGGCCAGCTGGGGCCATCTGGGAGCTGGAGCCTCGGGTGGGGCAGCTTCTGAAAAGTCCACTGTCCAGATACATGAGGGCAGATGCAGGAGAGAGTGGAGGGGACCTAAGGTATTAGGTAGTCTAGCCGTACAGTCCAGATACACAGCAGCCCTTGACTGGGGGTACAGGACCACTGCTCATCCAGAAAGAAGAAGTCCCCATGCTTCTTCAAAAGTCCCAAGCATCATTCAGAGGACACACCAAGCTAGTCACAGGGCACCCTGGGCCCCAACTTAACTTGGCATGGAGATTTTGATGTCCGGGAAAATCTAAACCATCTTTCTCCTCAATGGGCCTCTGGCGGAGGCTACACAGCACACACAGAACCACCATGGTGACAGCTGGACCACGAGTCTTCTTCGCGCTCCACTTGGCTCTGCAGAGCCTTCCACCACGGGCTGTCCCATGGAAGACTGGTGGATCACTCACCCTGGCTGGGCTACTCAGGAGCTGTGTGACCTTGGGAAGCCACACAACTGCCTCCTGCCTCCCCCATAAACCTGAACTCTGGAAGCGCTGTCATGGGCTCCCGTGAGCCCCACGTGGATTAACTCAGTTCTTCTGCCTTGCATAGGAAAGGACTCAAGAGGGCCCTGCAGTCGGAGCCCAGCTCTCCCAGCCACATCTTCAGAACCGTTTCTTCCCAGAATGGCATCCCCAGAGGTGGCCATGAGAATCACTGCGGATGCCACTCCTGGAGGGGGACACACAGGCCCTGACGCTGTCAAGTTAGCAGGCAGGAAAGCTGAACCTCACTTTTCTAGCTGGTACAGACCCAAGGCTGGTTCAGAGTCCTCACAACATTCACAGGACATGTCCCACCAGCCTCATTCCTCTGGCACCCCATAGGGGGACCCCACATGACACCCCATATCCAGTCCCCTCCTCCCTCCCACCCACACCTTGCTGGGCTCACACTGGAGCTAGTGACAACAGAGAAGCCATGGGTGCCAGCGCGTGGGCCCACCTGGCAGTCATTTGCGGTGCGTTGGAGGCCCGCATTCTCCTCACCCTCCACATACTGCTGACTCTGCCACCGCCTTAGAATGCCATGCGCCTGCTTATTTTGTCAGAGCCAGTTTTCGCAGCAGATGCCTGGTAGCGTTGGCCACCCTGTTTATGCCTGGAATATCCCAACTTTCACTGCCCAGAGTCCCTACCCTCATACCCTTCTTACCTAACCTAGTGTGGCATCACCCAAAGCAAGCCCTCGGTGGAACACCTTGCCCAGCACTGCTTTGCCAAGGGACCCTCTCCACATTCATTTCTCTCTGCCCACCTCAGAGCTGACCTAGGACCTCTGTGTCTCATTGTTAGGGACACCGACTGGTACATCTTTCTCCATGATATGGAGATCCTGGGGTGAAGGGGCAGTAAGAGCCAAAGGTAGAACCTAAAAATACGAGGTTGCAGCCAGTCCCTCTAATCTTGTTGCCAAAACAGGAGCCAGAGCAGCAGTCCACTCTGCCCAGTCAAAAGCATGACGACTTTGCTGTTGCAGCATGGTGAGAGCCAGGCCCAGTGGCTCGAAAGAAGGAAGCCAGATGAAGAGCTCAGGCAGCTCCAGGGGCCTTGCTGCCCTCACTGGATAGGGTCCCCTCTTGGTTGGTCGGAAAGCCAGAGTAGCACCTTCCTAAATAGTCATGGGCCTCCCCCTCCAGTGGTCGAGAGAGCATCTATGCGGAGATCTTTATGATCCATTCTTGGTCTAAATTAGGCAGTTAAAAACCTTACTGATGTAGCTGTCCTGAGAGAATGGAGCACTAGAGCGACAGGGGCTGAGTGCAGAGGCGTGGGGCCAGCCTAGTGTCTGCTAGGCAGCTTGGTGGGGGCTCAGGTCTCAGACTTCTCGGAGCTTACCCCTTGTGTGGTCTGACCTTGAACTTTGACTAAGAAGAGCACAGACAAGTGGAAGCATAACCTGTGGCTCTAGCTGTACGTTGAGGTGGGTGCTCTAAGGTGTGGATATTCTAGCATCTCCCCCGAGGTCTAAGTGGAGAGAACACACGGCCAAACACATTTGGAAGCATGCCATCCTCACTCCTCAGGGTGAAGGGCTGTAGTGAGTCACAGGCCCTACATGAGGACTTGGCTCATTCCGTGTGTGTGTGTGTGTGTGTGTGTGTGTGTGTGTGTGTGTATTAAATCCAGCATCTCACTAAGCCTATTGGTGCACACCTACAATTCCAACTACTGGATGCTGAGGCAGGAGGATAAAGAGTTCAAGGCCAGCCCGGGAAACTTAATGAGACCCTGTCTCAGAATTAGACAAGGCTGGAGCTGGGGCTCAGCAGCAGGACACTTGGATCTATAAGACAGTGTTGAACCCTCAGCACTGAAAACAACAAAACCCCCCAAACCACAAAACCCAACCAGACAAAACCCAACCTAACCCCCACCCCCAAACAAACGGAGCGTCTCATCTGAGGGTTTGGGCTGGGGTGAGGAGCCTGCCTGGCTCAGGGGCTCTGGTGACTCTACCAAAGGTGCAGTGCCACCGGGTCGTTCATGTGGCCCCAGAAGGCTCCCACTGCCCTGCCATCCAGTCACGTACCTGCCTGTCTGTCACCTGGTCACTTCCTCGGCACTCCTATCCCTTCACTTATTCCAGCCTTTTCTCCTTCCCCAGGGCCTTTGTATATACTAGCCCTGCTTCCTGCAGGGTACTCCCTAAGGCTTCTCCAGCCTTCTCAGTCACTGTGAAATACCTATCCTTGAGGGATTTGGGAATATTTTCTTACTTCACACATTTCCACATTCTACACCTGGCTGATAGCGCTCTCTTCCCACACGGGCATTGCTTCAGGGGACTTTCCTGTCCGTTCACGCTACCCCTGGGGCCTTGCGCAGACCCTGACATGGAGTGGGCAACTCAAAGCTCTGTGAGGGATGAGAACACGCTGGTTTTGGGGGGGAATCATGAGGTCTAGCATCTAGTTACAGCCCTAACTAGTCAGATCTGGGGTCAGCACCATTTTCCTGGACAGCTGAGAATGATGCCTGGTAGGGAGGGGACTGGGGTCTCTCAGGGAGAACCTCGTAGGACAGATTTGCTTACCTTCAGAAAGGGGATGACGAATGGCCGCAGTGGGAAGTTGGTGGCTTCCTGGAGCTTGGAATGAAATTCTTCAATCGTCAGAGTTGAGTTCTGCAGGAGAGAGCACCCCACTTAAAGGTTCCCATGTACTATATGAACTGGCTGCCCCACCCCCACCCCGGGAAGGAGGAGGCTCTAGGCCTGGCCTGAGGGATGAGCAGGGCATAATGGAGTTGTGGGCATAATGATGGAGCCTCTGGTGGAGTGGCTGCCACGGGGAACACAGGGGCCCGAGAGCCTGGAGACTCACCACCAGCCCCAGCACCAGGGTGCGCACACGCTCCCCAATCTCAGGCGAGATGTCACTGCCGAACTGCTGCAGGGTGGTGAGGAAACGCTTGAGTTTGCTGAGCTGCCGCGCCCCGCATGCCGGGGGCAGGTGTTGTGTGGACAGCGAGGCAGTCGATGAGGTGGCTGGGCCGTTGCTGAAGCCATTGGGTGTAGATGGGGCACCGTGGATGGCTGTAGGTGAGTGGCTGCTCCCGTTCATCACTGCAGGAGGACAGGGTGTGAGGGCCAGGAATCATTATACATGGTGACAATGACAGCAACGACCCAAATGGCAGTGATGATGACAGACAGCAGAGCCTGGAGCAGCTGTGCCCAGCAGCCTGCACAGCTGCCCTTCTATCCTTGCAACCTTACTGTGCTCATGGGTGTTATACTCTTGCAGATATGCAAACTGGCACTAGGGAGGTGACTCCCTTCACTTCAGGTACCCCAGCCAGGAGGGTGGTAGGGCTCACACCCGGGAAGTGGCTGCAGAGACAGACATTTGAGGGGCTCACTTACACTGTCTCTGGGGGTTTACCCTGGGCCTGAGGGCAAGGCCTTCACACCAGCCAATAGTCCAGGTCCTCCACACACAGGAGATGCCCAGGCCATCCTACCAGACTGGCTCAGGTTTCCACTAGGAGCAAGTGCAGGGCCTTTTCATCCACAGTACGGGAAATGAGAAGTCACCCCCATCGCCTCAAGAAAAGGACAGCCACTCTGCCTCTGCTGTTATGGCCTCAAGCAACAATCTCTACCCAATCTCTTTCCCACCTCTGAGCAATGCCTCAACTCTTCTTAGCCCTGAGGACTGGCCCAGGAACTTCCCCAACTTTGAGGATCCCGAGCCTCTCTAAGCCTGAGTAACACCATTGCCAACAAGTAGCCCAGTGCCTGAGTTGAGGGGACTCCAGATCAGGCGGAGCGACTGAGACCCTCCCCCCAGGAAGAGCTGGTTGGGTTCTTCGGGGGATTTTGACACAGAAGACGGTGTCCAGGGGCTAGTTCATGCTAAGGACAATCAGGTGACTAAGGAGACAGCTGATAAGCATACTACAGGATCACAGCTGTCAGTCACTGAGCCATGGCTCACTGGGTGACCCTGCCATCAACTCAGAGTACCAGGGCCAAGGCCAGGGGCTGCCTCAGAGTCCTTGCCTCTCAGCCAGGAGTGACAAAGGTATGATTAGCAGAGTCTGCATACAGGTCAGAGTTCACAGGTCATAAGTGCTTCCTTTAGATATAGACACATGCAAACACCTCTGGCTCACTCAACTATTGTTTCTGTTTGTGTCTTATGTCCCCTGACCTTAGGGATGCACCACTGTCCCCTGCCTTGACCGAGTGTGCAGAAGCCAGGTTCCCGGGCCTGTACTGAGAGTGTAGGTCTGGGGTGCCCTCAAGACCACAGTCTCCAAAGCTCCAGCTGTGGTGAGGCCTGGTGGGGCTATAAGTACCAAGGGAGAAGGGGAGCCCTTTTTCTAGACTGAAGAGCCCTCCAAGCTTGCCCAGTGCAGAGACTCCAGCAGAGTTCCCCTGGAGTATCTGCTTGCTTCAGGCAATGGGTACCTCAGCAAGTCACTCTAGACTGCACATCTTGATCCAAGCTGGGAGGGTGGCCTAAGGGCTGGGCATGGAAAGGTGAGGTGGGGCCTTTACCTAAGTCCCTCCCTTCCTTGCCCTACGGCTCTTGCAGGATCCTGTCACACCTCTGCCCACACTACAGGATGGGGGACCTAATCCTACTCTGCCAGTCTTGGGGTTTCTGTCTCCCCTATGGGCCCCACATAGCCCTCTCTTGCTAACTAGTGCAGGAACTAACTCTGTATTGCCCAGATACTGCCTGAGGCTCCAGCCCAGATAAACCTGGGGCCGGGACTGGTGGTTCCACGTGAGCTTGTTCTAGACCTATGTAGCAGACAGGGCCACTAAGGCCCTGGGATAAACGGTTCATGGATAGACCCAATTGGTGTTTCCCAACTGTCTGATCCTAGAGTTGACCCCTACCTTCCCCAGGAGTATAAGGCAGGACCCAGCCCAGGGCTGTTACAGTGCAGTGTGGGTGTGAACACTGTCATAGTCCCCTCAGGGGACACCCCTTCCCATTCCTCTGTCCTCACCTCCAGCCTGACAGTCACCTGATACAAGGACTCTCACAGGTCCTCAGACACCCCATGTCATAAACCCTGGACGGTTGGGGGAGCAACACCAGTTCAGACGAACAAAGTAGGCCAGACCTAGGTCCCAAGTCACTCTCAAGTTCTGAGGTGGCTCTAGGATCAGAGCACAGCTGTCTTCCTTGTTTCCCACCCCATGGCTGCTGGAGCCTGCCAATGCCACCACTGACCTGACCGACTCTACATGTTGGGTGTTGGGTGAGGTACCCCTCGACAGCTGCTCCTGAGGAACAGAAGCTGCAGAGCATGTGGGGAGAGGGACCCAGGCTCACATGCCACCTTGGTGTTTCTATGCTGCCACCAGGCACGGAACCCTCTGTATACAGTTCTAAGCGGCTCCTCTGTCCTGGTGGGGGCTATGCACATGGAAGCGGAAGCCTTTCCATTTGGTTCCCCACACTATCTCAAGAGTCCACCACAGGGCCTGGGATATATAACATACAGGATGACTGTATGTTAGCAGGAGCAGGCCAGCATAAGTCTGTGCATACCAGCATCCTTCTTGCTCTGAGATGCTCTGTGATGTCTGCATACAGCACACCAACAGCTCTGGGCTCAGCCTCTCTAAGACCATGTCCAGAGGACCCCACTGGGTGGACTTCTCTCTCACCAGTAAGCTCTGACAGCCACGGACACACATGCCCCAGTCAAACCTAATGACAGCCACTTGCTGTCACCTCAGCCAGACTAGGAGATGGCTTGTTGCCACGGAGACCTCACTAATAGGTGGACCTGTGTCTTAAGACCAAGTGTTTTATCACCAGGGCCCTGGATCTTTTAATAGTTTCTAAGACATGCCAATGTCCACATTATCTAGTCCGCCACCCACCAGACCCAGCCTGACCTGGTCCTGTCCTCCCTGAGGCCCGCTTACCAGTCTTGCTCTGAGCGCCTGGGTCCCCCGTGGCCTGTTCGCCTCACTGCCTGTCTGTCTTCCCTCCCGCGGCTGCCGGGCAGTCTCAGCAGCTAAAGAGACGCCAAAAATAGCCCCCAGCACAAGTGTTTTCATTACCACAACAGGTGTGTTACTAAGTTAGACTGCACACGTGTCCTCGGCTGATGTTTGGGGGCACAAACTAGCACCCCCATAGCTCCCCTGGTCTTGAGGCTTGGGTGGGAGTTGGCTTGGGGTGCACGAACCCTGTTAACGGTTCTCCCACGCTGTCTCCCTGGGTAGGAGAACACCATTATCACCACAACAAGAACCAGTCAACAGTTGACGGCCAGTCAGGCCGCGTGCCAGGCCCTAGTGTGTGGCCAAGCATGGCATAGAATGATGGCAGCAAGGACAACATAGAACATAACACATGCAACCTCTTCCTTATTCTTAGAGCCCAGAAGTCACATGGCAGCTGTGCACACCTGGGAGATGCAGCTAATTGGCCCCAGTAGGACTGCTAAGACACAGTAACACCTGATGATGGGGGCGAGTAGTATGGACATCACCCAGAGCTTTGGTGGGATCATCCACTAGTGACTGGTGCCCAAAGGGCATGCGGCGTTGGTCAGACATGGCAACAAGGCTTTGCCAGCATGGTGCACGAATCACCTTCAGCACTCCATACTGTGACAGCATCTCTTCACAGGTGGGGAAACTGAGACACAGGCAACCGTATCTGCCAGTATCTGTCAATAGTGGGAGCCAAAGCCTCTTGAAACAGTGGCGCTTGACTCGTCTTTGACGCATGTCCCCCTGTCTCCTCACAGCCTGCTTGGCTGTCGGGGATGACGCTCAGGAGGCGTTCACATGCGAAGGTCCCACAGTCCCAGCACACTGTCTGAGGGTCTCAGTCTCTAGCCCTTAGGCCCCTGGGCCTCTCTTGTCTCTAACGTGGCTGGAGATCCAACAAAGGGGGTGTAGAGGCAGCGAGAAGGACCCAGGCGGCCTCCTTGAAGCCCATGGTTCTTGTTATTTTACTTACAGAGACAGACCATGGACCACTTTAAGCAGCCGTGGAAACGGCCGTGGGGCAGAGACGTCGCAGGTCCATCCTCGCCATCTGTAAGCAAAATAAGAAGAACACGCTGTCAGGAGGGCGCCGCAGCGGCCCGTCCCCTCTACTGCTCAGTGGCAGTCCTAGAGACCATGCTGTTGCCACTGGGGCCAGTCCACTCCTCCTCTGGGCCTCGGTTTCCTCCTCTGCAAAATAACAGTTGCACTGAGTATCTGTCAGCATGCACAGCACCTACCTCTTAAAAGCTATCCTCCCGGGAAAGGGCCCAGTCAGCTCCTCAGCACTGTCCTTAAGGGACTTGGGGCCCGAGTTTTGTGTTATCAATTACTGAGATCCACGTCTGAGCTACCTGAATTGGGTTATCAGTGGAGATGGGCACTAGGAGTAGTGAGCCCCCTGTCGAGCTCAACCCAGCTAGGGGCTCCCTGCCTGAGAGGAGTGTCGTCTGGGTCAATGCCTCTTGCACTGTCCCAGGCTCCACACTCAGCCTCGTGTCCATCTCTCCAGCCGGAGACCAAGCTGTGTCTAGGATGATCACTGGGCCAGGAAAACCACAGCCCTCAAGTAGAGGTTCAAGGTCAGTCTCTTCGTTTGGCTTGAAGCACTGGGCAGGAATCTGCAGCTGGCTGCAGAGGCTTTACCAGGACTGCCACCAGCACTAGCCAGGTGCAGGGGTGTGGTTAACCATGTGGATTAGGAACAAACCTGAGGTGACCTCAGGAGGCCTAAGCCTCAGGTTTATGCACCAACTAGCCCCACAGATCTGAAGGCCCACGGACTGCAAGTGTCAACTTCAAGAAAAACGAAAGCCTTGTGCTCTATAGACAGAGCTGCGACCCCCAGGGCGGGACTGAGGGGCGGGGGGCCACAACTCTCCGTGTACTACACCGCACATGCACTGGCCGCCTTCGCATCTCTTTATAGGCCCCACGAAAGTAAAGCCCTGAAGGTCCCAGCTGATCCCATCCTCACTCCTAACCAGGAACATCTGGTGTCCAGGCCAGCTTTTGGGATCAGAACCTGGTCCACAGGGAAATGCAGGCTGGGGGAGGCACACCCTCAGGGTCGGTGACAGCTCGGAGTCCAAGATCAGCTTGTGAGCTGCTCTGTTCTTCCTTCCTGCGTGGGACCTCCAGACATCTGGAGGACCATTGTTTCAGGGAGTGTATCATGGCCTCACTGCTGGGAGAGGGGGCATAGCAGTCTCCCCAACAAACAATTCCCGTCCTTAGGTGAAGGCACTAGCTGGTGACATTGGCACAGTCCCACATAGTCCCCTCTCATCCACTGGATAAGCTCTGAAGCTAGTTGCCCAGCAGCCAGAGTCTCCCTGCAGTTCAGCCCAGAGGGAAGGGTGGTTGGGGAAGGAAGGGAAGGCGACTATCTCAGCCACGGCACTATGGGCAGAAGAATGGGAGAAAAGGCACAGGTACCTCTAGCCTGGAGGAGCATGGCCAGCATGCAGATCCAGGGCCTGGCAGGCACCTCTGTCCTCTGAGAGCAGCAAGGCTGCTAAGGGTAGAGTCCCAGCTACAAGAGGCAGAGCTAGGAGCCCCCAGTCCAGGCTAACCAATTACTGGACTCCGGTTAACCCTGTAGGAAGTGGGAGCCAGAACCTCCCAAGAGACTGGAAGGTGTATATGAGCATTCAGCCATGAGACAACCTGCCCTGTGCCGGGCACATTCTCAGACAGTCTTGGCTCCATGCCGCTGTACCTGGAAGCAGATGATAGTAACCCTCAAAGCAGGAGCCTGACACCCTGTCAACAGGACAAGGCTGGCCTCGGGTTGAGCTGCTTGCTCTCCATCTCGGCCTTTCTCTAGATAGCAGGGCTTTGTTTAGAGTGCTGCCTTTGAAGGGCAGAGTCAGTGCTCCATGTCCAGAAATGGAAAGACCAGAGAAGCACCCATGCCCTGGAAACCAGGGGACATCAGGCTGAGGTACTGAGACCCCTCCCTCAGAGAGGGGTATTGCTTTAGTTTGAGGTCTGGGGAAGAGTCCCTCAAGTATGTGTATTTGAAGGTTGTAGTGGGGATGGCCCGTGGCTTCTTTTTCCTGTCAGAACACTTAGGATAGACTTTATCTTGGGAGAAGAGGCATGAGTAATTGTCCCCTTTAATGGCCCAACCCTGGGAGTTTCTGTCTTCCCAACTGCTCAACACCCGAGAGTTTAAGTCACAATCTTTCTAAGAGGTGGCTATGGAGGAGAGCTGCCATGTCTGCTCTCTGGAATTCCCCCACCCCCTCCCCAGAGTGCTGTGTTACTCAGGTCTCTGCTCTGGGCTGTTGAGATGAACCTAAGTACCTGGGCCCTTCAGACATCAGTGCTTATAGGCTGGTAATGTCTGTTAACTGCATTTCCACAATGACTGTAAGACGGGGACCACAGGAGGCCCCTGCTCTATAAATGAGGAAGTTGGGCCAGAGAGGTTAAGTAGCTAACTCAAAGTAGCACAGTTAAGTAGGAGGAGCTGGGATCTGAGCCCAAGGTTAGGCTGCAAACGGGTCGCTGGGTCACGTTAAAGTTAAATGTAGAGTACAGAATTTCAAGTGGCCGTGCTATGAGGGGGGACTCACGTGTGTGAGGTGTGAAGGAGGGTGGTCGTGTGGCTCCCTGGGATGCGGTGGGAGGTGGGGGTGGCATGCTGGGGGGTGTGGACCGGGGCTGCGTCTTCACTTCAGCCGGAGAGTCTGGCATTGCTGCAGTCTTCTCCTTCCTGTCAGCTAAGGAGGGAAAGAGGAAGAGGGAGAGGGAGAGGGGGAGGGGGAGGGGGAGGGGGAGGGGGAGGGGGAGGGGAAGAGGGAGAGGGGGAGAGGGGGGGAGAGGGAGAGGGGGAGGGGGAGAGGGGGAGGGGGAGGGGGAGGGGGAGGGGAAGAGGGAGAGGGGGAGGGGGAGGGGGGGAGAGGGAGAGGGGAGGGGGAGAGGGGGAGGGGAGGAGGGGGAGAGGAAGAGGGGGAGGGGGAGAGGGAGAGGGGGAGGGGGAGAGGGGGAGGGGGAGAGGGGGAGGGGGGAGAGGGAGAGAGGGAGAGGGGGAGGGGGAGAGGGGGAGGGGGAGAGGGGGAGGGGGGAGAGGGAGAGGGGGAGGGGGAGAGGGGGAGGGGGAGAGGGGGAGGGGAGAGAGGGAGAGAGGGAGAGGGGGGGAGAGAGAGAGAGAGAGAGAGAGAGAGAGAGATCAAGCAGCTGAGGGCAGAGCTGGCTAGCCAGCACCTGGGCAGGGGCCTGAGCATCCACTGGCCAGATGGACTCCTGACTCCACCCATCCAGTGGGAGACACACGTGCTCTCACAGGTGGCTAGCGTCCATGCACAGGTGAAACACAGAGTCTGGCCAAAGGTGGTCTCGTCAGGACTAGTCTCTGCAAGTCCACAATGCAGGTTTTCATGCTCCTGGCCTATCCTGAGTATCCCCATTTGTAAGATACATGGCGAATGATGACCCCAGATTTTCAGAGCTCAGATAGTCTCCTTTAGGACCTGTGCAGGGGGACAGGTGAACTGGCTTCAGGGTGTGGAACCAGCATCTTAACCATCTCCTGCCCTGTGGTCCTTGGGACTCCTACAGGAGGCTCGTGGATGTCAGGATGCTAGGAGCCTGGCCCCTGAAATGTGAGCCACAGGCTCAGGACATCCAGGCTCAAGCATGTTCCAATGACCCAACTCTCAGCAAGGTGCTCAGCTCAGGGCCAGATGAGGAGGAAGAAGGTAAGGTGGTGATGATGGTCAGGTGGATCCTGGATAGCCAAGGGCTCTAGAATACGACCATGAAGCCGAGGCATGGGGTGAGCCGAAGCCCAAGGGGCAGGCCTTGCTTAGGCATCCTTTGCAGGGGATGGTGAGTCCTGGGACTTCCCTTTCATCTTAAGGAATGGTGGGGTAGGGTAGGTGGACCTGTGTAAGTTGCTTCCTTGCCATGTGACCAGCTCTCCAGAGCCAGCAAGGGGAGACTCCTGTCTGCTATAGGCAGAAGGCTGACATCTCTGCCCCAGTGACTGCCTGCAGGCCATGTTCTGATCATACCCACAGGGTCTCCCATGGGAAGGGCAGGCAGACTGTGTCAAAACGTTCAGAACTCCTTGTCTCTTGGCCATCATCATGGCAACTGTGGGCATCACCCCTTAACCTCGCACCCCATTTCAGGGTCCCTTTGTTGGCAGACACATATAAGTCCAGGTTGCCCAGCCTCTGTGATCCGTAAGTGATACCTACCAGGTGGCAGATCTCATCTAAGTCCCTCCCTGGTCTGCAGAGGGGAGAGAAGCTCAGAGACACTTTAGACAAGCCCAGCGGACTGTGATGGCTTGTGTCTGAGTCTGCAAGGAGCAGGCAAGAAGCCCCCATCTTTCTGGGCCCATGAGGAGGGGCGGAATGGGAGCAGATGGCACACAGTAGCCACCCAGGCTGCGGCACCTGCTGTCCCCCAGCTGTGGCCTCTGGCCCCACCTCCTGCTGGCGCTCGGCCCCTCCCATCCCCCAACTGTCCGAAGACTGATGGCTGGGCACATGTGTGGCTGCAGCTGTGGGGACCTATCAACACCATGCCTGGCTGTAGGGCCAGTGGCCAGTCTCCTGTGACAACCACCAAAGAAGGCGACTGTGGCTGGCTGCTTCCGCACGGAGCAGCCCGTCCTCACCAGCCCTTCACCTGTCCAGTCTGCCCTTGGGCCCTTGGGCAGACAGGGCTGCTTGGATGGTATTGCCAGGGCCAAATGTCTCAAGTGCCAGGCTGGTCCTGGTCACAGGCCCAGGACACTGGGGGACACTGTGTGTCTCTGAAGCCTTTCACAGGGGAGAAGTGGCTTCACCTAAGTTTCAAGTACCAAACAAAGCAGAGTCAATTGAGTGGCGACACCACGGGCAGCTGGGCTGGGCACTTGCTGTCACCTCCCAGCACACTCGCTCAGTGCTGGACCACTGGTAGGCACCCTGGTGCCACAGCCATGGTACCACGTTGTTGTGATCACCACTTGCATGACCATGATCTCAAAGGCACCCTGCTGGTGCCTAGTAACCTTTCTTTTCGATAGGACCAGAATCATAGAGGCCATTATCTGCCTCAGAGCCTGAAATGCTCTCACGCACACACTCTGTGCCCAGCCCGTGACAGATCTCATTTGTCCTCACTGAGATCCTATGGTCTTGATTCCCCTCAAAGCCCATTTCACAGAGGTGCCATGATCTGCCCCAAGTCACACATGGATCCTGGGATCTAGTGAGGGGACTGAGAGTCACCTGGTCCCCTGCTCAGGACTGCTTGCTGCTCTGCTCTTTCCCTGCCTTCCCTCTAGCAGCCTAAGGGTGTCTACTTCCCAGCATGCCCTGGGAACCTCATTATCCTCTCCAGCTCTCCCCTCCTGGCAGTTCCTCTGGACTGTCACCCCACTGCAGACACCTCGCTCCCTGGTTGACCCATCTGCAAAGTTTCCTCAAGGGGTTGAACTTCTGATACTTCTGCCTCTGCTTCCGAAAGCTGGGGTTGCAAGTCTGTGTCACCGTTCTCAGTTTACGGGTGCTGAGGACGGAACCCAGGGTGTTGTACAAGCCACACAAGTGCTCTACCAAGGGAGCTGCAGCTCGGGACCCCGCCGTTAATTTTCATTAATTTTCCTCCCCATACTGAGGTGGTTGGGAAGGCCTCCTGGATCCCACAGGCTCAGAAAAGCCAAGGGCAGGAACTAGAGCAGTAGACTTGTCCTTCTGAGGCTGTATCTTCCTGCCCTGCTTCCCTGGCACACACCATAAGCAGCCTGAGCAGGGACTGGTCAGGTATGCGGCTCCACTGGTGGGCGTCCAGGGAAGCCACCGAAGAGGGAGTTCTTGCTTCTCAGCAAGCCTGCAAGTGCGGGGTGGGGGTGGGGGTGGGGGTGGTGTCAGTCCCTCCAGAGCAGATCCTGGAGAGGCCTAGAGCACTGTGAAATCCGGGCTGCTTGGAGCTGTTTCTTTTCCTCTTGTCCCACCAGGGTCAACCCCATGGCCTCAGCCACACTCTTGCTGGGTCTCCAGCCTTCCCAGTATTCCTAGAGGTACAGCTCCATCTCAAAAAGGGGAAAGAAGTGATTTCTTTTCTTTTTCTCTTTCTTTCTTTCTTTCATTTATGTATTTATTTGTTTGTTTGTTTTCGAGACAGGCTTTCTCTGTAGTTTTGGAGCCTGTCCTGGAACTAGCTCTTGTAGACCAGGGAAGCCTTGAACTCACAGAGATCCACCTACTTCTGCTTGGGATTAAAGGCGTGTGCCACCACCACCTGGCCTAAGAAGTGATTTCTTCAAAGCCATTTAGCTGTGCAGTACAGACTTGTATCTTGACTGTCAGTCCCAAGCCATATCGTCCTTCCTATACCTATCTGCCCAGGCCTGTGTCCCCAGGTTCTAAATTGTGTTGCCAGACAGCTGGACAGAGGTTCTTTTGCCTGCTTAGCTGGATGTTCCTTGCTGCAAGGTGAGAGGGTGGGAGTAAAAAAAATCACATACATCCTGGTGGCAGCACTGTTGACGTGTTCCAGGTGACAGCTACTGACCCCAGAGCCGCCCCAGGGACCCACCAAAGTTCATGGTCTGTGGGTGGGGCAGCCTAGATTGGAACCGCGCATCAGCTCCAGGCCAAGCCATTGCCATGAGCTCTTTAGTATGGGCAACTGACATGGTGGCTGCCTGCAGCCACAGTGCGACTCATATGGAAGAGGCATGGAGATGTGCAGGGAGTCAGATCCATGCCCGTGCCCCTAGGGTCAACCTTCACACCAGCAGCAAGGACACAGGGTTGTGTGGTCACCCAGTCTGGAGTGATCGTGGGGGAGCTTCTGTCATCAGCTTGATAATGCTCTCTGCCGCACTGTCTCCCGCATGCTGTTTGGCTTAGGACAACACTGGTAGGTCTTCCGCTGTGGCAGGTGGGGAGATGGTGTGGGGGTGCCCAGCTCCCTCATCCCAAGGAAATGAGGTAAGGGGCTCATGGCATCATGCACCCCAACAAATAGCTGTCTTCTGTGTGGCAAGGAATGTCTGCTTTATGAAGGCCTTGGCAGTCCTCAACCATACAGTCCTGCTGCTCCATCTTGAAGGTAGGGAAACCAAGGCACAGTGGTCTCGTGACTTGTCCTGGATACCCAGCTTGAGAGGCCAGCAATAAAACTGGATTTGGATAGCCTGGCCCTGCAGGTTTCAGGGGCCCCTGCAGGCAGGTGACTCCAGTCAGCCTCCAAGGTCTCTAAAGCATGTCCATGTCCCATGCTATTTTTTTTAAGAGCTGATATTATCTTCTCTCCAGTCCTCCCCAGAAAAGAGAATTTATGGGCTCCCTATCCTGAATCCTAGAAACCACATATAGGGCCTGGCAGAGGTTTAGGGATCCCCTGAGGGACTCGAATGAGTAGGGAACTCGGAGACAGCAGCATTCATATACCATTCCATGGTGCCTGAAGTTGGCAGAATCTAGAATGGTCTCAGGGAAGAAGGAGGGTGAGGGAGGCCTGGCTCCTCCCCCAGCCCATCCCAGTTTCTGCCACTTCCCTGTTCCCACCCTCCAGAAAATTCCCAGGCCCCATGGCTGCTTGTGGGCCCAGGGGAGCTCCTGTGTACTCCATGACATTACCCAGTTCCCAGCTGAATGCTGCTGAGTATCCGCAGAGGAAGCAGCTCGCTAAGGCCAGGCGGAGCCTGTGGGAAAGAACATGGAATGTGCCGGAACAGGCCACTCCATCCATCACTGTCCCCATCGGCTGTGGTTCC